GATTATTTACGAAAAGCAAAACACCGAAAATTCAGAAAGTCGTCATGGAGTGCGAAATTGCCGTCTCAGGCTACCGTAGGGGTTTATCGCGAATCAAAGACACTGGAATTATTCAAATATTTGTTTAAGTTAGTTTACGTAGTTTCAAAGAGATGGAAATTAACTAAAACTTTGTTAATTTTCTTGGAATACGTAATAAAATAGTTAACATCTTGGCACGCTTGTCCTTGGAAGTTGTCGTTTGAACAAATAGCCATGTCTCACTTGGTGTGCATAGCTAAAACAGGTGTTTCATCATTGTTTCATCATTGTTCTATCATTGTTCCATCATTGTTTTGATTCATTTTCTTAGGATATCCGATCTCGATATGGATCCCAATAAGGACGGTAAGATACACAGTATGAAGATTTTACCCATATCATGTCTCTTGTCAATTTTGTCCTAAGTGTAGAAATCCAAAGAAAGGAAAAAATGGGGAGAAAACTCTGGCGGACACAGCAGGGCTAAACAAAGCCAGTGCTGAGGTTATATACAAACCCTGTTCACCCTTAAAGGTTTCAAATGAATCACAATTATTTGCCTTTTTGATATCTTGCAGGTATTATAAGCTATGAGGAGTTCGAGGATTTAACCAAAAAGAGTAAAGAAAAAGAATTAAGAGCCTATTTGGAGAAAATACATGAAACAAATTCAAATAAACGCACAAGAGACAGTAGCACTACGTTTCTTGATCCATACGAGCACCTTGATTTTAAACCTTTCTTTGAGAGTCTGAGAGACAGGTACGAGATTCCGATTTGTCGCGAACTATATACCTTTTCTGACCAAGACGTCAAAGCGCCCACCACACATCCAAAAGCACTTTTTGATAAACTTTATAAAAGAAAAAGTAGCCGAAACAGAAAAGAAATCTTCTATTTAGTTTGTCTCACGTTAATATTTTTCAATATTCCATCCACAGACGCAAAAGTTAATCCAAACTTCTGCGCGCCGTAATACTCAAAAACAAAGGAAAGTTCTTCTTAATATCTTTGCTGCAGCTAGTACCATGCAATTGTATTAATCCATTGAAAAAAGCTATTTTTACTAACACTACCTACAGGGTGAGTCTTGACCACAACCCTTGGCGTCCAGCTAACTGTTTAAATGCAAAGATTTTATGAAAAGGGGGTAAGGAACATTTCAACTCAGAACCAAGCCGTAAAAAAAACATGTAGAAAAACATCTGCTTCCCTATTCATAATACCAGAAGACTTTCACAGCTTGTACTTGCCACAGCAATTATTCCTCAATGTGTTCCTATTTTAATTGGAATCCATTCCTCTGCTTTAGAATACACTTGGCGACCAACCTCCCTAAAGATATGATTTGGAGCAGTGAAAATATGCAGGTTTGTCTATGACACTCTACGCTGTTATGGTCAGAGAACTAGCATTTTAGTCTGTCCCCCAACAAAGGCATACAAAACGCTGGTGACTCCCTTCTTTCCTGCGTGACAAGCCCAAAGAACTCTCAACCCAAAGAATAGTCACACTGCTTCCACCTTAACTCCCAAGAGTAACTTTTGAAGTTTCAATTTAAGCGTAGCAAAAGCTAAGATGCAATCAGTATCATGATAGTGTGCAGCTAAACTAGGTTTCATTTGAATCGTCACACCATAGGATTTCTTCTAGAGGCTTAAGAATGAAAACCGTTCCGATACGTCCTCACAACTACCGAAATTTAGTCGCGCCAGTGTCTTAATCTTAATGAAGTGCCAAGGTAACGTGACTGACTTAACTGCAAATATATAAAAAAAAGACATTTTCCGACTTACTTTACTTTGGTCCAGCCAATGAAAATGATAACCAACCAGCGCGTGATATATTAGACGTTTTGGCTACTTCAATATTCCAGGTTCTGTTTCAATATTTCAGGTCGTCAGGTATCAGGAAAAGCAACATTATCATTGTCATTTTGACTCGGAAGAAGAAGTAGTAATGAACACACCTTGTTGTCATTACACTGAAAATTTATATGGAGTCAATGACTTGGAATGCGTTCCATGCAGGTAAAAAAACTTTATCTTTCATCATGCTGCTCAGCTTCAATGTCAATTGCAATTTCTCATTTTACAGACACTTATTATCTTACATGCTAATTTTTTCCCTTATATTTTCTGCATTACCTAAAAAGTAAAAATATATTTTCCTTTATCATTCAAAGACCAAGTTTTTAGGGATTGACAATTAGGGGAGAAAGGGATGGGGCAGTGGGGAAAGGCCTAGCCTGCGGGCCAGATCTCCAGGCCAATCAAATGGAGAGCTCTATAGAGGCCTCGCCTCCCACCAATGTGGCTTGTGTTCAAATCCCGGAATTGACGCCCTATGTGGGTTGCCGTGAGTTTGATGTTGGTTCTCTCCTTTGCTCCGAGAGATTTTTCGCCGGGTACTCCAGTTTTCCTCTCCCCTCAAAAACCAACATTTCCAAATTCAAATTCGACTAGGAATCAGGTAGACGAATTTGGATGTCCTACCTCTAAATCGTCAGTTATTGATGTGATTGGTCATTAAAAATTGACCTCTACATTTATTATTATTCCTTCATAATCAGGTACTTGACGCTCTTTTATTATCTTAATGAGCCAAAACTGGGTGGTGAAACTGCTTTTCCTGTTGCGGACAACTTTACCTTTGCGGAAAATAAGGTGAGGCCTATTTTTATCGTTCTACCTTAAGTTTATGAATCCTATTCCCTCACAAAGTATTTAATAATTATGTCACATTGAAGTGACGTTCACACCCCGCAGTCGAGTTAGTCCTTGTATATTCTGACGTCAAACTTGCTAATTTCACCATCACCGAGCCTTGTTTGCAGAAATTGTTGTGAATGGAAATTTTTTTCTATTTACCACTACTGGGAACTAACTTTTGAGAATTTCCCAAGTTAACAACACAAAATCGAGAAATGGTGATGAAATTTGCTGTCCTGACAGTTGAGCCTACATTAAGCAGCATCCCTTGAGGTACAGGGAGGTGGCCGCCCGATACTTCGTCTTAAATTACTGGTGTAGTTATGATTAAATTTCAACCCTGCTCGCTATAGAGCCTCCTGTAGCTCAGTGGTTAGAGCGTTCGAACTGGAACTTGGAGGGTCGCGAGTTCGATTCTCACCCAGAGCTGTCCCCGGAGGTCGGAATTTTTTCTGAGCTTTCTGGTGTTAGAAATCTCCTTCCAAAATGGCATAACCTTTGGCTGAAACCTCGCTTTATATAGCGCTTGTTGGCCGCTTAATAGAGGTGACAACAATAGGTGAACCCCTCGTCGGCATGGACAAAAGGAGGCCGCGTGTGTGCTTGGTGGAGGGGGCCGCCTACTAATATTTCTGGGCTCGCTTAATAAAGGGTAGCTGATTAATAGGTGGCCGTTTAATGGAGGTTCAACTGTGGTTGGTTGATTTATCTTTTGATGGCTTAGTCAGTCAACTAACCTGTCTGTCTGCCAATCAATCAACCAATGCAAATCATGACATTTAAATCCTATGTCCGTATATCCAAAAAGGAAATCATGATCGTGATGATTGATCGGATAAATGGTCCTTGGTACGATGATCGTTGACATTTGACAACATTTTGCTTTGAATAACCCTAATAATGATTTCCTAGAACCTATATTAAACGCCAAAAAGTGTTTAATTAATAGTCAATGAAAACAAGTCGTCAAGCCTGCTAAGAAAGCTTTTTCTCAGCTCACCTTTCTATTATTTGATATTCCGAGTGGCGATGAAGCACGTGACTTTGATAACTAAAACACCTGTTTCGTGAATCATGTAATGACAAAATTTTTTCTCACTATTTTTAGTCCAACATAGATAGTGAATTGATCATGTGTGACTTGGCCGACCACTGCTACGATTCAAGTCTTTATTACAAACCAAAACGTGGCACTGCGTTGCTTTGGTACAACCATTTTGTTGACAACGAGACCGGCTGGCTGGGACCTATGGATTTCATGAGCTATCATGGCGGTTGTAACGTCATTGAGGGAACGAAATGGGCCGCAAACAATTGGATTAACGCTGGACCGACTCGCGAGCTAGATCTAAAACTTTGGGAGGAGACGCGATTGATGGAGGAAGATTTTCAGGAAAGGATGAAAAGAGAACCTTGGGAGGAACAAACTGGGCAAAAGTCAAGTGACGAGCAAAGTAATTATAATGAAGAAAAGCCTTTGGAAAAACAAAATGGGCTTGAGTAAATTATAGAGTTTCCAATTGAAAAGAACCCTTCAGAAGAACAAACGATTAACAAACAAAGCAATTAAGAAACAGATCAAATACAAAACTGATCACTATTGGAGACTGGTCGCACTCAGCAGAATCTATGGCTTTAGTTCGTCGGACTTTTCGTGTGTCCCGTGGCCGTCGTATGGCTATTAATAGCTACTACATAGTATTTTCATGTAAGGGAGAGCGGTTTTTTTTTTAAAAGTAAATTACAAAACCTAGGATAAATGGAAACTAACTGAGCCGTGGGGTTCCTTCTATTATACCAAACTTTTCGGAACGTTTGGTCGAAACAGAGATGGAATGCTTCGGTCCAGGTCGGACGAGGTTCCAGAAAAGCGCCTCGCCTCCAAAGGTGGTCCTCTCAAGTCGATCGATCCGGTCCGACCGAGACTTGTCATCCCGTTTCCATAAATTATTGCTTCCAGTTCCTCTTTTTAAGAAGAAACCAAAAGTTCCGCTAAATCGTAATTGGAACGCTTCGGTCCAATTAGAAGTTTCGTTCCATCGAAAAACGTTGCTACATTTTTTCTTTGTAAGTTACTTAATTCAATTTATCTAGCATGAGAAAAGAAACCGTTTGAAACCGCACATTAATCTCATTCTATTCCAACTGCGGTAGCAGAGGTAATCTGGAACACTACAGAAAAAAATAAAGCATCCAAATTTTGTGTAATTTCCATAAGAATGTAGATAAGTGCTCTTGGTGAAGAAAAAGATCACAGAGAAAAAAATTGCCTAACTTTATTTCTTACTTGCTCGCAAACCGCCTTATTGTTTTATCACATATAATACAAGACTAAGTCCGGCCTACTCTGTATCGTAAACCGAGAACTTTCTCTGACAAGTCAGCTAACGCGCCTTTCAAATGTCGCCTACATGACTAGTTCCCTTCAAGACCTGGTGGCCTAGGCCGCATTGTTTAGCTCATTGCGGATAACAGGTACTCGCAAGTTACTCCCTCCACTACCTAAGGTCTAAACTATTCAAAACTTGTAGTCAAATTTTCTTTTTTGGATTCTTGTAAGAGACCATAGTTTCTCGTGAATCTCCCAAAATATTTATCCAGTTATTAGCAATCCACTTCTCTCCCTTTAGAATGTCGCATCCTCCGTGATAGGTCATCTGGTCTAGTCGTCCGTGCCATCCTGTCTTATCATCTCGCAGATGATTATACCACATAATTGCCGTCCCTTTGCGGGGTTTTACAAATAAGTTGGCCTTGTGACAGTGCTTGCTCAAGTCGCAGCGGTATTTAGTTATCTGTGCCCACGCCTGAAAGAAACAAAACCCTTAAAATAGTGGGAGGGGTTTGCATAACGACCGTTAAACTGTACAAATGCTTTTAGTGCTGCAACGACACTGCCTGTCAAGTATCGCAAAATCTGCACCTAGATTGAATCAAAAGGAATGCTAGTTAAAACCAAATAAGATTAGGAATTGGATTAGGACTCCCCTGGAGACATAATAATTCGCACCGAGGAAGCCGCTTCACTTTCTTAGCGTTTACATTTAACACAAAAGTCGCCCTATGTAAGGGTATCCGGATTCCAGAATCCGGGAAATTTTTTCTTGTGGAATCCGGAATCCTCGGCCCAAGGAACCCGGAATCCCGCTAACGATTGGAATCCAGAATCCCAGTTCCACTGACAAAGAATCCGGCCAGTCCAGAACCTGGAGTCCGGACTCCACAACTTGCACAGAATCCAAGGCTGTCTTGGATGATTACCTGGTTTTAGTGAACGGGAACTTGACAAAAAAATAAGAAAAGAATCTGTATCCCTGCAACCTCAAATTGTAATATGACCATATGATACTCGAGGACACATAAATCTCTCAAGAGAAGCATTAACAGGTTATTATGACGTCAAAAGACAAAGAAATACGTCATATCTTCCAGAGGGCCGCCATACTGGATCATCAAATCTTAGTGTTAATCTAGGTTATCAAACTTGAAAGTGGTTGTTTGCCCTACCCCACTCATCACAAAATATAGATAAAATTTTGGTAGGAATGCTTACCTCGATGCTAAATGTAGCATTATTGGCAACTGGGAAGGCAGTCTCGCCCCCTTCTTCAACGTCGTTTAAAAAATATAATACTGTAATATATCTGCAAAAGAAAATAAGTCAATTCTTATTAGATCTCTAGCTAAAGGAAAAGGTGGAAGAAATATGGTTTCTATTTAATAACTTAAAATTGTTCAACGTAGGAGAACGTACAAAGATTTTAGTGCATACTAGTTGCAGGGGGCTTATGGTACACTCCTACCAAGGCGCTATTGACGTGTTTTGTGAGTGAGAGAAGATTGGGGTTAGCTTAAAGAGCGCAGGAGCTCTTGGGAAAAGACTGTTCCTTCCCATGAGTTCCGCGCGCCTCAACCTTACCTCAATCTTCTCTCACCCCCAAAACACATAAATAGCTGGAGACTGAGCTTATGGAGAATGACGCACTACATGCGCAGTACCTGCAGAGGCGACAGCGTCTTCTGTCTCGGAATACACAGCAAGGAATTCTGGGATCCACATCCTGTGAGTCATGATGACAGTGGTAATGTCCCTCGGGATCGTAATGAACAACCTACGTGTAAAAAAAATACTAGAATTGTCATCATGGTCATCGTCACGACTACCATTATCATAATAAAGGATGCAAGAGGATTACAAGCGTGTACTTAATAAACCTTCAATCTGCTATTTTGACATAAGATTTAATGCGCACAAACTCGTTCTTTCTTTTTGTATGTAAGGAGTACATGTGGTCGACAGGCTAGAGAAGCTCTCTATTCAAATATATCTTGAACTGACGCTAGTAAGGATGGTCCTGAGAAAGCTGAAATGTCCACCATGTCACCAACGCAGACACAAAACCTCTGAGTTCCTGCAGGAATTCGAACCTATCGGTCAAGCACTCTAGCCACTGAGCCTGGAGAATAATAACATCCAATGCAACTCTATTTATAAGTTCCTACCTGAAGTTCTTCACTTTCTTCAATTACTGCTCTGGGAAGCTTTGTTAGAGCTGCAACTCTGAAAATCAAATCGTATATCAGCCCTTTGACTCCGCAGCGTAACAAAAACTCATTATTAACCGACAAAAAAAACATTCCAGTTTATTGGTAAAACAATGCAGAATTAACTATAAATATGAGAAAGTACTAAATGGTATAAAAACAAAAATAGTTCTCGTCTACAGGCGGAAAGTGAGGCAAGAGCTGGCTGGCTCTCGACTGGTGCCTGATAAATTCATGAGATATCATGACATACCTATCATTGAGCCCTTTTATCTTTCTGTGGTCCAACCATGTTTGCCTGCTGTTTCGGCTCTTGACTCGAGGCAGCGTTTTCGCCACGTTATGAAGATACCTCATGATTTTTTCGGTTCTTACTGTTAGAAACTCTTTTAGGTCCATGACACCTGAATAAGTAACACAATTAATTGTTCATGATGAGACCTCACGATAAATGTTTAGGAAAATGCTTGGAGTCACTGAGTGGAGTGAATGGTGTTCTTTTACAGTTCAGATTTCATCGCGCGTTTGGAGTCACTAGGTAGAGTGGCCTTCTTCTTTAGTTCTATTTACTTTAATTACTTAAATGAATTCGCCACGTTGACTCAACACGGTGACAGGGGATGAAACAGGACTAACGTCTCAAATGATATCAACCCCCTCATTACCCACCCAGCCAATGAAAGGTTGTACCACACAACCGGGGTCTAGGCCCCTTACTCTTTACGAACAGCAGGGTGGGTTCTTTTACGTCTCACAAGAATCAGAACAGTGAAAGAGCTGTCAGACGGGGCCTACGGTTGTTCTTATAAGAGAAGACTAGAATGTCTAACCATTTGTAGATGTCACAACAAAGGCAGCACCTTCTTCTCAGTTATTTTAAGGCCCTGAGTGTTGGTCCGGCCGGGGTTTGAACCCACGACTTATCTAATTGAGCTAACCAGGGGGCGGTTATTTTATCGTGCGTTCAGTTAGTGCAAGAGGATACCACCGTATCTGAGCAAAAATGGAAAATCACGTCAAATCTCCCAAACTGATATTGGCTTACAAACCATTTGTGTTCTTGTCTACTTTTAATTCCTCAAACCTAGAAATTAAACCATAAACCCAAAATCGTTAGGAAGACAGCAGGTTTCTGAAGTTAACGTATGATTACAAGTTTAAATTTTCGCGGTTCTTTTGTTAATTTATACACGTTAGTTCTACATCAAGAAACTTGTCGGGCTGAAATCATTATCGTAGGCAAAGCAATACAGTGTTTAGTGTTGGACCTTAGTCTGTGTCTGAAATTATCACTAAATTGAAAACACTTTCTTACAGTCATTAGTTTCCGGTATCAAAGGGAAGTTTCAGTACCTCTTTTCGATCATTTATTGTGAAAACATTCGGATCAAGTAGTAAATTACTACTCACATTTTCTCGATGTCTTCCTCTGAGAAATACAAATCGCTGAGATCTACAAGATTGTGCATTACCTGCGAAAGAGAACGTAAGAGAATGTTATTTCGGTCACGTGGTAAATTGTTTAGTAGTCTGGTTTAAAACATTGTTGTTATCTGAACCGATATCTTGTTTCCGATTCATCTGAGTTCCAGTGTGTAGTACAAAGAAGAAAGGGTGTCTCCTCACAATGTTTCCTGATTTCGCTTAAGGGATTTTATAGGTTGAATGAACGTTTCCACGTTTCGCACTTCTCCTTCTAACTACATTTTTAACTTCTTCTCAAAAGAGGTACAGTTAACGTTAGAAGAAGTTTCAGTTCCCTTCAAATTTCGGGATTAATTAGTGTGGTTTGATGGCTTTGAAAAGAGAACGCGATGACATGTTGCCACTGAAAATTCGAGAAAACGTTCTTAGTCTAACCTCAACTTTATCAATGACGCCGTCGTGATTGTAATCCCAGTTGTTGAACGTCTCCTCATTGGTTGGTTCAATGTTGATTCCTGTCTCAGGGTCCTGAACTTCACTTGTGTCCAGGCCTTCTTTAGAGGCAAGGTCCACAACAGTCTGGCAATCCTCGTCAGATAAAAAGTTGGGTATTTCTATAATTAAACAATTGACTTATGGATTGTAGACAGGTGTCGTTGAGGTACAGTACATCAGTCTTTTAAAAACTGCTATTTCTCAAAAGGATGTTCCTGCTACGTAGAGCATACCGTATCTTTAAAGGGGCTTTATCACGCTATTTGTTTTCTTTTTAAAAAGCTAAAACATGTTTCACGTCAATTGAATTCCACAGTGATGGTTCAGTTTTGTTATTTAAGACTATTTAACGATTAGTCGCCCAAGGAGACGTGAATATTCACGTCGCCTGAGGCGACTGATTGTTTTAGTATAATTACATTGATCAATTTCCGACTCCGAAATATCAAAAAATCTGGCTGCCATTTTGAAAACTGTTAGCCTTCAATGTTATAATCACCACGCGGTGATTATAGCGGGATGAAGCAAAGCTCCTAGCCAATCTCAGCGCTCTATTTTCGATAATCATCAATGTAATCATACTAAATCATTTTAGGGACTGAAAATGTTTCCTATCCTTTGTTGCAACAGATGGCAAGGACGGATATGGATTGAAACTTGAAAAAGACGAGTTTCCTTTTAATACTATTCCTGCAAAAATCACAAAAACGATAGCATGATTAGTGCATGCATTTTTGTGTACTGTTCAAGGCACTAAGTTATGATTAACCTAAAACAGTAAGTATACTTGTGAAATAGCTCCTTCATAAGGATAACTAGGAATTTTGTGATTGTTGTCTTACCAAATATCAGTGGTTTAAGACTCAGTGTCTTTATTTCGTACATCTTTCCCGGGCTTAATTGCCTTTTTTGAATGTGGCCAACCTGGAAGTCATAAATAAATAAAATAAATAGGTAAATTACTGATTAGCAAAAAACAAACAATCAATCGGCAATGTCTGTCACAGAGTATATGGTAGCACGAATTACGCCAATAATTTCAACAGCAACAAAACTAACACAATAGGTAAGTCTCGTTGTCCTCATCACTTTTAACCATGACGTCTCTGACGTCATAAATTTGATTACTCTCATACCCAGATCTCCCACGGCCAAGGGACTTAGACAGACACGAGAATAAAATATGTATAATTTTTACAGATTTTTGTTTTTTTAATAGGTAAACGAGATTCTACAGCACTTTACATGACTTAATCCAAGACTTAGCAGGCAAATAGACCATGGGTCATAAGATTATTTATTTCACCTTTTGTTTGATGGCAATCATGTTAACTCCTGTCTGGTGAAAATGCTTCTCTTTGTCGCTGTTTGTAACGCCAGGGCTACCACGTAAGATCGCGTGAATAAGCCACGGAACCGTTACAACGTAATGCATGAACAAACTCTGTTTTCGAATTAGCCATTTAGCTTCTATTTGACTTGATTTTTTTTCATTTGAACCATCACATTTCTGTTCGATAAGCATTTGTTTAAAAAACTTCGCACATTTCTAGAAATTCGCGGAACATTCATTTCAATAAAGGTAATATTCGATCGATATTGCAAAACGTGACAGAAAGATCAGCATTAATAATTCGAACACGGTCTTATTTAATAAGCGAGACATAAGGGGACTGTGTTGAAACACAGTAAGTTAAGGATTCATAGGAAAATTGCCTTAACTCATTTGTTTAATCTAAACAGTCTATTGATTTAATACGGACACGTCAGTACAGGCTACTCAGCTGAAACACAATCATAACAATACGGTCAAGTAATAAATAATGAAGTCATATAATTAAAAATATGAAGCCAATTTAGAATATTTCTTGGATAATCACCAACCTTAACTCCGTCCAATCGGGGAAGAATTTTGAAATCCGTGTTAATTTCGGTTTTTTTGTTATTTGAAGTCCTCGACGTGTCTCTAGTGCTCGTCCTTTGCGCTTCATCCAGCTTTCGCTCCATGTTAAATCCGTTCTTGTAGTAAATTGCTACGGAGATGGCTATGAAAGCCGTTATGGCTACAGCTATCGTTGTAGATGGGAGTGACGATTTTGAATCCGTCTTGTCTGTTTTCTTCTTTGATTTTTCCTTCGAGAACTTTTTCTTATCAGCGCGCGGCGGCGCCATCTCTGTTTCCTTATCACAGAATTGATTCAAGAAATTTGCATATCGTTAACGTTTGTCGTTTGTATACAATATACGTACATCAATAAGGGCACCAACCACATGGCAATGAAAAAACAACTTTAGTAGGTGCCGTTGTAGATTTACATTAAACTCTGCAAGGTACAAACCGGCTATTTAATTTATAGACCATGAGTGACCACTGACAAATACACTAGCCGTTTAGAGTTGTGTGACGACAATAGCATATAGCTGTCACGCTTATCTAGTATCTTGGCAACTCTGGTGGTCCTCCTTGAATTTTAACTTTTAAGTCGAGAATTTCATTTCGACGGTTCTATTTTCGGATACTACTTTTAGGCGAAATTAAAGTCGTCCCCAAATTTTGTTCGCATATGTGTTGTTGGACAGCAGTCCGCAAAGCATCACGGGGCGAGTAGTCCCTGAAGAGGTCAAGAGGATCGAACAGCAAAAATTCGCTACTGTGTACAGAATTACTCCTTTACTTATAAATTGTCACTTTGTCACGAAAAGATGATAATAACTGATTCTCAACTTGTAGGAGGGAAATAGCAACGCTTGGGATTATTAAGGAAAAAGAGAACAATCAGTGACTATTCCAAAGCAGTGACATTGTATCCCTTTCATCCTCTGTTCTCAGCTGTTCATAGACAATCAAAATGGAAACCCGGCCTACCAGCTACCAAAACACGAATTTTTGCAAAGTATCACTGATAAAGATAACTGGAGTTCGGTCTCGAAACCAAGCCCGAATAGCAAAATACATTGCAGAATTCAAGGTGTCTGCAGCGTATCTGTTACTCGAGACCCTGACTAAACATCATTTACAGTACAAACAGGGTCTAAACTATTTCTCTTCCTCCCGTGACACTATAACAGTGCATAACTAGACTTATGTTTCCATACAATTTTGTTATCAGTTTTCTTCTTTCTTCGTCGTCAGTAATTCGCCCAGATGACTCGGAGTGATATGGTAGCGTGTTTCGTTATTCTCATCTCGCTGGCTCACCGGATACAACAGGCAATTGTGGTTTCACCTTGGGTTGAATAAGAAGGTCATTGTAGCTAGGATTGAACCTAAACGAAGTTTGCATTTCATTACAATCAACATCGGTTTCTTGTGTTAAAAGAGGCACTGAAGGGTCAGATAACGGCTGAGGACCTTGTTGGAGGTACCTTGGCGGAAAACTTTCCACCACCCCTGAAGCGAGCTGAGCACAGGAAACGGAAAATGCATACGTATCACTGGCAGCATTCGTTGCGGTTCCCCCAAGGCTGACGTGTGAAGCGTCATTGGTGACGCGGCAGCCAGTACTATAATAAGTTGTCCCCTCTGACGCATTTTGCTGGAACAAACATAATGAGTTGTTATGACGCGGGTAACTCGTTGGTGGTTGTGGGGTCTGGTCACTTGATGGCTGATTCCAGAATGAAGCTGGCAGGTTACGTTGCGTCATGGGAACACTCGGTAATCCTAATGGAAACAAAAACATAAAGAAGCATGCACGGGAAAATCGACAGGACAGAGCCGTATAGAACCTGTACGTCCTTACATATCTCGTGTCGTGTACTCGTAATTTAAGCGACCACACCCAAATGCAAGGTATGGCCATACGGCGCCTAACATAAAGTTGCACCACAAGGATGATCGATCTGAATCGGAAATAGATCCGACACATCTCCCTCTTTATCAAAGGAACGGTGAAATCTCGTCAAAACGGACATCGAGAGGCCAATAGCAAGTCTCCTAGACGGACTGTCCTTATTGAGCGGCTCATATTGAAAATACACCTGATGAGGATTAGACCGCAGGTCAAGTGACCGCTTATGCGGCTTAATTGAGGTTTGAATAAAATGGAAAAGGTACCACTATTTTATTAATATCCTGGAAAGGTGGTCGCAGTCGCTTAACTGGAGGTGATCTTGCTCACAGCAGATTCCAACTATAAAAATGATTTAATTTCATCGGGAGACTTCCCGTATTGGAAAAGTAGTTGCGTCAGAGGGATTTGCGTACGATACGATTAAATACTTGAAACAAAACTTGGCTACGCATAAGTAGTTTACGCTTGAATAAAGTGATAACGACATCGATTAATGCAAGCACGGACCAAAAGTCCCAAGGTGAGTAACGATATTTACACCAGTTTGATTACTCGTGAAAGACGCGCGCATTCATTTACTCACAGCCTGCATTCGACATTATTTACGACAAGGACTGAAACAGATGTTTATAATATGGGTTTTCAAGGTATTTTGACTCTCCTCTGCAAATCAGCTAGTCCAAGGTGGGCTTTAAACAAGCTACCAGAGACCGAGATACGGTATTCGTCACAAAAATGTTGTGACATATAGACTGATGAGAGAAAACAAAGCCTAAACAAACATTCATTTCTCCAACAGCCGCTGGAGAATTGAAAGATGTACGATATACAAAGCAAATTTGCGAATAAACTTTGATCGACCTTCATCACTTGAGGAGAAGTTTGTTTTAATGTAGCTAGCGCCCCAGAAGGCAAGTACAGAAATGAAATTAAAAATATATATGGTACAAATATTCAATTAAAATGTACCTTGCAGACGTGATCCATCTACCATTTTTTCCGCGGCATCACCTGGCAAGCAAGAAAGCCCTGAAAAAGTCTGGTTAAAATGCTTGTCGACTTCTATCGAGGCCTCTCCCTGGAAATATACGAAGAAAACACCTCTTGGACTGTAGTGTGTTTTAACAATTTCCGTATCTTGCTCAGCGATACCCGGCGCGGGAACTTTTCCAGCTGTTTGCTCGCCCTGAGCGAATTCTTCGTCTGTGCTATTGGCCGGGCTTGGTCGACCGGATTTCAAGTAATGTTCAGGCCGTTGCATACTGGCATATGGATATTTTTTCGCAGCTGATTAAGTTTCACAGTTTGTGGCAGTAGCTTAAAATAAATGCCCGGAGTTTTGCAAACAAAAATCTTTTGCCTGGTACGTGTGTAAAGCAACTTTTTCTTGTGGGAACTGGTTACGACTCCCGAGCGCCGCGTCATTCGTTTAAGATAGCACGCTTTGCAGTTGTACGTGCTATTTAAATCATTTATTTTGCCTTTCTTTCTTTGTCTTTTTTTTTTTCAAAAGAAATTAAAATTATCTCTGTTCCGCACCTTCTACCTTCCCCATGTTTCTTGTTTTTTAAAATAATTAATGTTTCGCCCCACAAGTCTGGGCGACGGGAACGCTCATTGCCACGCTTAGGGGGGCAAATATTGCAATTTTTCGTCACACGTAGCTGTTGAAGTCATTGAAATCTGAGCATCAAGATTCAACGCCAGGACTAGCAGAGAGTGGTGTGCCTGTGCTTATGCTGTTCCGGACTGCATGAAACCTGTGACAAAATACTTTTTGAAAGACAGCATACCATGTCAACATCCTCATCGTAAGTAAAATCACCACACGTAAATTCTTGTCTGTTTTGAAGCACCCTCCTTTAAAGGTCACATAAAACCTTAGCCACGCCCAGATTGGTTTCTTTCAGGGGTGTGATTTTGATTTTCCGCATAGCAAAATTGGGGGTGGGGGGTGGGGGGGTGGGGAGGCGAGTGAAACGAATTACTCAAACTGAACACAAATGTTTGAAAAGGCATACGAGCTTAATTCTGTGGAGATGACGACTTGGATTTTTTATTTCGGCAAGTGCTTTCATGATCAGCTGATTACTTTGACGCCGTCACTAGAGAAAGCGCGGCCTCAACGCGTGTCAACAAAAACTGGTTTAATCAACCGCGCTAATATTTATGTCAGAGTATTCTAGCGTTCGTGATACGCTAATGTTCAGTATTGGTTAGGTAGCTTATCCGCCTAAGTCGATTGATAAAATCAGAACCTTCATTCTTGACCAAGTCTAAAAATGTTTTTATTTGCAGTTATTTGGTCCATAGATCGCTTCTTCTTGACTTCAGTAGAGTGTCTGGTCGTCTTGTTTTGAACAAGATCTCTTACAAATTGATCAAGAAAAGCCCGGGAGCAAGGGATCACGGGAATTTTAGGTTAAGCGGGAACCTTCAAAAACGCAAAGGCACCTGTGAAGCCCTTCCCATAACCCCTTGAGCCGCGCCTACCACCAAAAATCCCAGGAAGCCACTTAAACTAACAGTTCGTCGTTTGGATTTGCGGTATATAATAGACCTCTTATTATAACGGCGGCCTATTAATATATTCTTTTATAGGTATGATAATTAGCTTTTCTGACCTTGTTTGCATGTGCAAAATACAAAAGAATTCTTACGTTCAAACGAGACCAAAAAAACTCATTTATATCTATCCGTTTTTTGAAAACCAACCTAACGAAAATTTGCAGTCATTTAAGAGAAAAGGCGTCAAAAGGCAGGTTTTTTGGAGCCGATAAGCTCCAAAATCACACTAACGAAGAAAAAGGAAAGGAGAAAAAGAAAGAGCGAGGAGGAAGAAAGGAGGAGAAGAAAAAAAAGCAATGGCTTCACTCTTACTTTTTATAACGGCTACTTTGGAGATGGAGGCCGGAAAAAAACTGTTGGACGCAAAAGGTCCATTTGGGGGTAACGTTTTCAAAAATCCGGCTAGATATACACAAGTGGGCCTCCATTTTGAAAGAGTTCTATGAGTAACAAGAAAGCTAACACCAGGCTAACACAATTTTAATTTATTGGTAATCTGCGACTAGACAATTCTTGAAAGGACATACAGATCATTTATAACCAATCTCACTCAAAAAAATGTAAAACAGGTAACTAAAGTTACAGAGATACTTTCGAAGCATATCCTTCTTGTCCTTACTTGAGTTAGGGAAATGTTAATATGAACATTATAATTGGAAAACCCAGCGGGAATCAGTCCTTCATTCAGCGGTCTTACCCAACCTTGTTCCCAGGGTCTCTTTGACACAGTGAGAAGGGAGGCACTGGGAATGAGGTTTTGGTCTCGTCACAATAGGAATATGAGAAATTTATTACATACATAACGTTTGCAAAGTATGCAAGGTACTCATCAGTAACTGAATGTTACTGCTTGTTAATTATAAGGGGACGAGGGTGGGCATCGAGCAGAAGAAATAATTTTTCGTTCCGTTCGTCAGCATTTTTTTTCGCGTCCTATTAGCATAACAAACTCCGCCTTCCCCGCCACGAATAGGCACTACTAACTTAAAATGAATACATCTACTTTTTCACTAATAAAGTGGTTAATTATTCTGCCAACACAACGTAAATCTTCCTTTCTTGTCATCATTTGAGATCGAGCTGTCGAGAAAGAGTCAAAGATTAGTGTGACTTCTTACCAATGCATATTTAACATTAAAACATTCTCTTGATAGTTAGCCTTCTTAATTATCAAATTCTAAAATGATTCCCTCAAGTTTTGACATGATAATGACTTGCGCTTCCAGGTAACCTTTTCAAAAGAAACAGTTCTAGGCTACGCTAAGGAATTAAGCCTGCGAAAACATCCGTTTCTCCACGCTCTCCGCCGCTGGGGACGTTTCGCGAGGAGGAACGTCTGCGACTCAGCGACAGAAATTCTATACTGATGACGTAAAGTCTATCCGGAATCCGGTCAGAAGCGCTGATTGGTCGACGGAGTAGTTACATTGTTTTAGCTATTGTTTACGAATGACAGGCAAAAGATAAAAGGCCACAAAGGTCAAATGTAAACGCGAAGAATCTCTAACAAAACAGTCAATATTTGTGGAAGTAGTCTGCTCTAGATGAAACATTTGAGTCTTGCTGAAGCTCGTTGGCAGATGAACATAACACTTCACCAAAATCGACCAGAAGACACGCAATATTGGACAAATTTATATTTGGAACCTCATGACTACCGGATTCATTTTGTAAACATTTGCGTCATCAGTATGGAATTTATGTCGCTGAGTCACAGACGTTCCTCCTCGCGAAACGTCCCCCAGCGGCGAAGAGCGAGGAGAAACAGATGCTTTCGCAGGCTATAAGGAATTAAGCAGTTTTCTTTTAGAAACGATAAGGAAACTGAAGTCGAAATGCGTCCCGCGATTGTTACAGGGACTGTTACTAGGGACGCACCGGAATGGCCAATTTTTTTCCCTGTCCCTGGTTATAGTCCCAGAAGTCTTTGCGCAAGTAAACTCGGCCCAGTTTCCTTCTCGTTTCTAAAATGGCGAAATGGCTGATTTTGAAGCTACGCGTGAGACTGAGTCGGTGTTGAGTCGAATTGTATTATGGGACTGTTTGGGGGAAGCCAGCGGTCTTCTTAAGTAATACGACTACATTTTATCCCCTAACACAGTCCCATAGCAAGGCAGGAAAAAAACCAGGTCCGATTGCCCGGGGCAACTGAGTAAATTTTGACCTTGGGCAAGTAAAAATATACGTCGGTTTGGTGGCCCAATGGGCAACTGAAATTAGCCTCAGTAGTCCTTATGTGAGTCTGTCTCAAAGTTTCAGCTTGGTAAATGATATCCATACTGAAGACTCAAATTGAAGACTGCAAGATGAGTGACACGATTAATTGAAAGCACGAATTATTTTAAAATCCAAGTGCACGTTTGCTTGCTCCTGTTACTCCTCCATCCACCATATTCGTCAAATCCAGTACTTACCCCGTATCTGGCTCAGCACTTAAGTACTAGTTAACTTACACAATTTGCGATAAACTAAAACTTATTAAAGACATTGACTTACAACAATAGGTAATGAGCCATTGTGTTCCCTTTGCGCAAGTAATATTTAGATGGGGTATGCGAAAAATGAAATTTACTTGCCCACTGGGCAGCAGGATTTCAATTTTTTTTTCTGCCCTGCATAGTGCAATTCTAAAGAATCCAAACTCAGTCTCGGGTACAATTTTGAATTTTACAATAACTGGGCGATTTTTCGCGCTCTGTGTGGTCGAGAGCTATGTTTGATAGGAGAACAGACCATGGAAATGACGTAATGGTGACGCAATTTGGTTTTCTCCTTCTTGCACGCGCAATTTTCCGAGAAACTTCTTGGAAAATTAACATCAAACCTGTCAATGTTATCATGTAAAATACAAATCGACAACAATTTTTCATGGGCTGCACTCCTATCAACCAAAGAAATGACGTCAACATTTTCAAAACTTTACAGTAAAACCACTCGCCTACGGCTCGTGCTTCCACTGCAAAGGTTTGAACACATTGACGTCACTTCTATGATCAATAAGAGTACAGACCATGAAAAATTTGTTGTCGATTTGTTATGACCAATACCTTCCTGGTTCGCTCCTTGAGTTGTTCAAAATTTCTCATGATTACCGTAGAGAATAATGCCTGCCCTCACATTATAGCCACCAGCTGCGATAGATCGACGCGGATCGGGTGATTCCGATTTTCGAGCCTGTGATCCTGGCCTCATTTCAACAAAGCCGTGGTCGTCAGTCTTTTGAGCCTTCGTTAAACAGTGGAACCCAGCTGATTTGCAGCTTATGCCACGTTTCTTGACACAGCAGACAACCAAAGACACAAACATTATAGATACAACTACAAGAAGTATTACCGTCACCACAAGTTGCCACGAAAATGTCAAATTCTGGCCATCTGTTGTTGGTTTACCGTTCGGCGACCCGCCTAAGGTTTGGGATTTGTTTAATGGAGGGTCCGAGTTAGATTTCTCCGTGGAAAACTGCAAAACAGTGCTGCTTGCAGTAGCTTCTGCCAAACCGCCATCACCAAAAACAGTTTGGATCACTTCTTCATTGAAATCAGTCGGAAGGGAACTTGTATGGACAGGAATTTCCTTCGACTTTTGGATCTTCGTTGTGGCTTTCACAGTTGTTGATGCTAATGTACCAGTTGAATCAACTGAAGCGGTCATTCCTATTGAAAATTTAGCTTGATTTCTCGTAAATATCGGAATACGATGTAGTTGTGGGACACTCGAACGAGGTTGGACGTTAGCGTCCGTAGTGGGGTTGACCGCAAAGCACAAGGACTTGAAAAAGCGCGCTGCTTCGTGTTGCAATTCGCGTGTCGTATTTTCTGAACTGTTATTGGCATAGTTGGTTGATGTCCCATAGCACGTTAAAGGTCCCACGGTGAAATACGACTGAGAAGCTGATTCTAAAAACTCAACCACGGTGATTGGCAGGGCGGACTTGTCGGTGACGTAACCTTTCAAAAAGCAAAATCGGAATAACGTCATTGGATTTTATAGGACAACCAAGAAGAGAAGATTTTCAGCTCATAAAAAATGACGATAAGTACATCAGTTGTTTGAGTTCCATGAATTAATTCTCATTGCAGTTGGGTTGTGTAACTATGAACAAGGCTGGCCTTAATACATGCAGCGGCTGCAGCACACTTTAACCTTGCACAGCAATGCCATATTAAGCGCTATCAGGAGAAAAGTTTACCTAATTAACAGGTTAAGCATCATGTTTACGTCAAACGGCAAACGCGAATTTGTACCACGTGACCAAGTTTCCCCTTTACTTGTCGTTTACTGTTCATTATTTCTACACATAAATTAGGAGCTTGAAGAAATTTTTTATCCATAAGAATTGTTTTGAGCTTGTTTTGTCTGCTCATTTTCTGTTTTGAGAAATTCTCAACTGTAACGTCACGTGATAGTTGTTATCCAATAGGATGCCAGATTTTACATGTGCTCGCGATCTTGTACAGGAGTCTTCAGTGAACCGACTTATGGATTAAAAGTATCGTTTGTTCATATTTGTTTATGTTTACAAAACCCGTTTGTTGCTGTACAAAGCCACAACGTTACATCAACTTGGATCTGACGTTTGCCGTTTGCCGTATACGTGAAATTTAAACTCTCTAATACCAGCTGCTTTTTGCTGCTTGTTCTGGTAATTGAACAAGGTCCCCTTCTGCTTCAGCCTTTCAATTCTGCCTATGCGTTGTCCTTTTTGTTTCCCTGTCACGAATTAAAACTCAAATATAACAAAATAAGAAAAGGTTTCATACCCGCATATTCTCTCCAGGTTTCGTCTCCAATATCGCAGTAACAAGACATTTCGGGAAGTGCGCACGTTCCGTTTACTCTACACGAGCAGTTGTTGTTGCCTGAAGACGGGTCTGGCCAGTTTTCAGGCGCTATATACGACTTTATTCCTTTCAACGTAACCTGATATGGGCCTATTGCTGACTGCAGCAATTTGGAACCAAAACACTTGAAGCCAACATACTGAAGGCATCGCTCGCTCCGGTTGATCAAAGCTCTGATCTCCTTCATCGGCGATGGGTATCTCACAGAATGGAAATAGCCTATTTTTGGAAAGAAAATTTTCGTTGCATTCACCCTCTGAAGACCAATTTTGCTATGCCCGACAATTGTAACGGCATTTCCTTGTTGCGTAACATTACACAGGACCGTAATTGGTTTCAAAGGACCTTCGGCGTCTAAATCCACTATACAGTTGGCGTCACCAGATAAACCAAGATCTTTGTAGTCCTGGCAGGTCCTTCGATAAATGGGTTTTTCGCAAAAGCGCCCTCTGTAAAACGTGCTTTGACAGTCACAGTTAAAACCACCAGACCGTGCTTCGATGCATTTACCACGATGTAAGCAGGGATTAGGGAAACAAGGGCTTGAAAGGCTGCAGAAGTTCTGCAGCGCACCGGACTTGCTTGTCGGGCTTATTTTAGTGAAAACAATATTTTCGCCGTCGACACTTAAACCATAAATACAACCGATGAAGGATGGCATAGTTGCCTTTCGAGCGAAGCCAATGAACATGGTCAGGTCCTCTTCTTCGTTAACAGATTGATTCAGGCTCGGATTAAAATGCACCAACGGCACTTCGTTATCAACAGCTAGCTTTATCAATGTCTCATTCACAACAACTGACAGATCGTGCCAATAACCGTCATTCAATTGCTTTTTAGAGTAAAGCGGTTGTACAATACCGCCAGGAGACGTCCTCACTTTAAGAAATACCTTTCCTTTAACCATCAAAACACGGACAAAAGAAAATCGCCCAAGTTCATTACCCTTCGATACTAAAATCTGGTTTGCCAAATACGTGCGAAAGTGGAACCGTACGTTCAGGTTGATTCTACCCGACGAGGCGAACTTGAGATATGCTTCCGGGTATCCAAAGCTTAGCGTCTTCAATTCCAGACGTCTGCACCTGGATCGCGAGGCAAGGATTTTGGGGGAGCCGTGCATTGTATACCTCCTTAAGAGCTTCCTGTTTTTGTTTTCTCTGGGAAAAATTCTTCTGTCGCTGTAGCTTACAGCTTCAATGCAGCCCTTGAAGTGTGGCGAAGGCTTATACTCTCGCAGATTGTTGGCCATGCCTGTGGTTAGTCCTGCGATATACGTCAAGCCCTCTATATCCAACCTGGTGTGTTCACTTTTCAGCTTAAGCAAATAATTCTTTTTATCAATCCTTACTTTTAATTTACGTCCATCGAGAGTTACCAATGCCCTGTACCAAGTATTATCAGCAAGGTTGTCTATCCACAGATCCCCTACTTGGGAAGGATTGTTGTCACCAAGGTTTACTGTGACTCTGTAGGAGAAAGGCCAAACACCACAGGATTACCAATGTAGTAAAAAGCATAAAGTGTAAGAGACGCCCTCTCTCAAGTAACGCCTCTTGTCTAATAAACACCCATTAGGTAACGCCTTTAAGTTAGACGCCTCTCTCTAATAAACATCCCCTCTCGAATAAACGGCCCCTGTGACAATTTCTCAAAATACTAGGAAACAGTGATAGTAGATCATTCAAGTTGTTCACTTTCTTGCTCAATGTCTATCAATGTATGGACTGGATAGTCTGCTTTTTGTAAAGCGTAGTGATACAAGAGTCCAGTTTCGAATTCGTCGCGGCCGCTGAACAGAAGCACTAATCAGTAAAGAGTTAGGACAGTCTTACTATGTAACTATGTAAGCACCCAGCTGTGTTGTATATTTTTTGACCACAGTTAGAGCCCCGATTCTGACATTTTTGTCTCATTACAATGCTTCAAAGTGTCTTTTCCTACAAATCCCAGCCTCTCCCAGGTCTTCAGTTAGATCTGACCATCAAGAAAAGTCGCGGATGCCCACCCCCCTCCCCCCCCGCTCCCCCACAAAAAACACACACAAACAATTTAAAAAACAAAACACACGGTTGTCATTAAGAGCCGGGGGCCGGAGATTTTCCCCGGCTACTAAGAGAGTGGCCCCCAGCTACTTTTATGGGAAAATAGAAGAAAAATAGAACCAAAAGAAATCCCTAGCGGTTTGATTCCCTGCCTACTTGTTGTATTTAGGGGGCAACTTGAAATCTTAGTGACAACCCTGAAAACACAACAAAAAAAGAGCAAGCAACCTTCCTTTACTCAAGGTAAACTATCTTTATCTCTTCAAGGTATTAGCAAAGGTACTTTGCTCAGTTTTGTTAATTGAACGTTTTAGTATTAGTAGTACAAAATTATTTTAGCACCAAGGTTAACGACATTATTTCACGCGGTATTGTCAAACTTAAAGACCACAAAAAATTTATGACCAAAATGCTTTTAAAAAGCTTCATAAATGCAAGGTAATGAAAATTCTGGTTTACAGTCAATTTCTGATAATGACTGAAAATTCAAAAGCACTAGGATTGAGGTTCCTCGTTTACAGCGAAAGTAAGAACATAACCGCGCCTTTAGAAACATAAACATTAATGTGTAAAATCAGGATAAAAAGAAAGACTAGGATCCTATTTTGCTCGATCAATGAAATGACTACGCGTGACTGCTAAACCGAGCACAGATGGTGCTCTTTACAGCTCTGTGAAATAACCTGTTATTAAGTCGAAAATTGGGTACAAATATGAACTTTGAGCTCTAGCGGGGGCAGACCACTTAATGCAAAAATCTACATGGTCAAGAAACAAGTTCAAAACGTGTTAGTTGTTCACATCACATCACTGCTATTTGATCATGTTTTTGTTTACTTCAAATTTCGAGCATTTTTAACACTTTTTGTCTGTTTTTGAACATCTCGCGAGTCTACTGTTAACTAATTTCCGTGTACGTCTACGGTTACCGACCGCCATCGTTGTTTTGTCAAACCTTTCATTAAAATAAACATTGTTAATTAAACATTTCATACCTTAACTTTCCGTGTACAAGATTTATCATTACAAAATCGCTCTTTTCCTCCCAACCGCCCATGTAAATCAACATTCCATTTGGGAGCACAGTCATGAAGTGAATGTTGATGATATGTTTCACCATTATCTTTGACCTATGCGCAAACCAAGGCATCGTGTTCAAGTCAAATGAAACAAAATCGTCGCCATAAAATGCAATGTGTTGACCATAGACCTCAAAAGCAACGCTTGCGAGGCACAGAAGGATGAAAACCTTACACAAACGCTTCATATTTTCCGACTTTGCACTGTGGCCTGCAACTGTGCTCAGTTTTCATGTGGGAAATGAAATGGAAGTTCNGAGCATTTTTAACACTTTTTGTCTGTTTTTGAACATCTCGCGAGTCTACTGTTAACTAATTTCCGTGTACGTCTACGGTTACCGACCGCCATCGTTGTTTTGTCAAACCTTTCATTAAAATAAACATTGTTAATTAAACATTTCATACCTTAACTTTCCGTGTACAAGATTTATCATTACAAAATCGCTCTTTTCCTCCCAACCGCCCATGTAAATCAACATTCCATTTGGGAGCACAGTCATGAAGTGAATGTTGATGATATGTTTCACCATTATCTTTGACCTATGCGCAAACCAAGGCATCGTGTTCAAGTCAAATGAAACAAAATCGTCGCCATAAAATGCAATGTGTTGACCATAGACCTCAAAAGCAACGCTTGCGAGGCACAGAAGGATGAAAACCTTACACAAACGCTTCATATTTTCCGACTTTGCACTGTGGCCTGCAACTGTGCTCAGTTTTCATGTGGGAAATGAAATGGAAGTTCAAATTTGATTGACAGGCGTAAAGGAGCTAGTTGATATCGGGCGCTTAGGGCTTAAATCTGTAGGAGATAACTACATGACAGGTGTTTTATCAGAGTAAGGCGAGTAGGCTAGTTTTCTGCTTTGATTTTTTCCTCGCGAACGTTTCCTAACAACGCGCAGTGACGGCGGCGCCATTTTATTTAGATGGTTGAATCGCTAGCGGGTGCTGGGTGGGGTTTTCTGGCAATGCAGCCGTGAAAGAAGATTGGGTACAAGTCAACTTTAGGGTTGTGTGACTATACTGTACCTTCAGGCTACCTGTCACACTTCTCGCCTTTTGGGGTCGTCACGCAGTATATATAGTAATTAGGTGATTGAATTGCTAAGGAAGTCATCCGGTATCCTAGCAATGGTCAGTACGGTAATTTACCCAAGCAATTTTCTCTGTAAACCATTAACCTGCTGTCTGTAATTGCCTGCTGTGTGTTTTGGTCGGTGATCAAACAAACTGGAAGATGATCTACCCAATAGCAGTTTTCAAAAAATCCTTTTTTTAGTTCTTCTTGAAGGTGAAATGTAAATGAAAATTAAAGAGTCGGTTGTTTAAACGAGGTCTAACTTAGACCGCGGTTTAAGAAATCTTGGACCTCCAGATCTCGTCTTTAGTGGGTCAATTTGAGAAGATAAATGCTTCCTAGTCTACATGCATATGCTTTAATAAAACTTTCACGACAAATGGTGCTTAGATAAAAGCGTTAGGCAAACTGAAAATGGCTTAGAACGCAGTTTTGTTAAACACTGGTTAAACTCCGTTTAGATAACCGGCCCAAAGTCTCTTTTGAATCTTGCTATGAGAAATGAAATGTAATGACCCGCTGTATGTTAGTCATTGGCCACCTGATCCAGGCAAATTGAAATATTGCTCTAAAACTTTTGCCCCAACTGTTTGTAAACGATTGGCGATCAAAAATGACCAACAGTACCAACGCGATTCTACAATAAAGTTAAGTGTTTGGTCAAAATAAAGGGGAGACCAGCAACCTCTCATGAACGACGTGAGGTACGATTCCACTCCGGTTCTTTTAGCTTGAGATTCGCATATACAGAAAAACTTTTTACGAAAAAAATGGCAACGATTTCAAATATAAGTACTGTGAAAAAACATTTGACGAAAACCTTTTTCATTTTTTCCCAAGAACGCACATTTGAGAGCAGAAAAGCGGATGCGAAACATCTATTGTTTTTAGTCATTTCTTCCGCGAATTCACGCCGGGTACGGTCTGCGTGTATTTGGTTACTGTAATTGCGTAAAACGTTTCTGCTGTGATGCTGTAGTGTAAAAAGAAGTGGAAAAATTGTTACAGATTTTGCAAAGGAGAAATACTGAAGCCAGAATTGCCTTACGCGACGCTTTTGTGTAATTTCACTGAGGTTATTTGGTACCCGTTTCCCTTTATTCAAATCGACCAATCAGCGATCTCCGGAAGTTAACGACATATCGCATGGTAGCTTTTGAAAGAAAAAGTTGACTGAGATGAATGAAAAGCATTCAAATTGTTTTATTATGGATGATTAATTTATGAATAATTTTCTGATCAAGGCATGGGAACGGTCGACTGCCGGCAATATTAGGATCATTTCGAGCAAATATGGCGAGGAAAAACTATTTAGTATGGACATATTTTGTATGGTGTATTTTGATTGGTTTGTTCGACCTACGAATTGACGGTACCGATTCTTCAATAAAACTCGGCACGTGTGTTAACGAAGAAAGTGAAGATGGCTTTTGCGACAGTAATGATGAAAACAAGTATCTTGAAAATAACGAAAATTTGCATGCGGAAGAAACTAAGGGATCAACATTACTGGGACAAGAAGAAATAACGACTTTTATCGAGAAACAGTCTGTAAAGGACAACATATCTGAAAGTGAAGTTAATAAATCATTATCGGGAAGCGAAGATAAACAAACAGACATCGCTGACAATTCGACCAATGATTGGCTCGGACTACGTATTCCGGTTGTTGATGGAGTTGAGGTAAGTACTAAATCAGCATTTTATGTAATTACTTCTTCTAGACGAAAATTTTGTTATCCAAGTAGCTAAGCTACGTACATTATCCATGCAACCTATTTAAGACGGACATCCCCTTTACACGGAGTCTTCAGACGACATATATATATAAACATGCGCAGTGCATGTATGACCACTGTTATGACATTTTCGTAAAATTATAATTACAGTAATGAAGATAATGATGTCATCGTGTCCTCAGAACTGTATTTAAGCCGCATTTTTTCCTATCTTTAAACAGGTTGGTCATGTTCAAGAAGTTGAAATTCTTCCGGGAGTCAAACGGCAGATGAAAACACTGAGCATGCGTCCACTGGTATTCGGTAAGATGGAAAAACAAGAAGTGACGTACTTGAATTTTACAAAAGTAAACCGAAGTTAATACTCTGGTAATTAACACATTAAAGCACGATATTCTTCGCCCTATTTTCAATACATTTTCGGGGATCACTTCCTTTATTGTTGTGACCTTCATGGAATGTTTAAAAAAACGAGTAGCATTGTTGAAAGTTAAGCAGGAGAATTTTTGGACTTTATAAAACACGGTTTTTGCCAAATAAACAGGTTCAAAAATGTCCTTGAAGTATTATTTCCTATAGAATTGTAAAATCCAGTGTACACCGGTCTATTTCTCTTTTTAAAATGTGTTAATTGGAAACTGTCAAACAAAGGCAGCGTTCTCAAGAGCAGTTGTACAAATGAATTCTGAAACTGAAGNGTACTTGAATTTTACAAAAGTAAACCGAAGTTAATACTCTGGTAATTAACACATTAAAGCACGATATTCTTCGCCCTATTTTCAATACATTTTCGGGGATCACTTCCTTTATTGTTGTGACCTTCATGGAATGTTTAAAAAAACGAGTAGCATTGTTGAAAGTTAAGCAGGAGAATTTTTGGACTTTATAAAACACGGTTTTTGCCAAATAAACAGGTTCAAAAATGTCCTTGAAGTATTATTTCCTATAGAATTGTAAAATCCAGTGTACACCGGTCTATTTCTCTTTTTAAAATGTGTTAATTGGAAACTGTCAAACAAAGGCAGCGTTCTCAAGAGCAGTTGTACAAATGAATTCTGAAACTGAAGTTCCGAAGGTCTACTTGCCTTTAAATACGATGCCACAACCCAAAAGAAATTTCAGAAGTTAATAATCGTGAAAGAGGGAAACATCGAACGAGGAGACACACTAAAGCTAACTGCACAAACACATAAAGGACAGTGATAACTTTTACGAATCTCCAATTGGTAAGAATTGTTTGTGACTCATTTCGCTGACTCTTTCTTGGCTCGTAAAACAATAGTACCTTGAAATAAACTGGTTGTGGTGTTTTCTCGACTAAAAATCTTTATTTTTTATTGTAAATAAGCCCTGACCGGACCATTGCTTTATTAGTTCGTTTAAGGCTGAACATCTTTTTGGCTTCTGCAGATATTTTGATGAATTTTTGACTTTATCATTTATTTGCAAATTAGAATAACCATTTTATGATAAAATTTAATGTTCATTACTATTCTTCAATGGTTATCAACCTAATCAGCATTCCATTGTTTCAGTCATTCAACCTCATACAATTTCCCCCGAGGCTTAATTCAAATCCTTCTTATCCTCTGACTTTTCAGATGAATTTTAGCACGTAAGAAATAAGGTCAGTGATTCAACCCTTGCATTCAACAGGACAATATACTGACTATTTATCAGTTGTTGAAGTGTTCTAATCAGTAAGTTTTTAAGAAGAAATTAGACGCTGGGCACGTTTAGTGGTTAAGGTTACAGAAAATTCGATTATCCAATTAAACTATTTTCGAGGAGGACGGTGCGTGGACAACTACAAGTAACATCCTAGAGTTCTCTGAGGCAGTCCCTGCTGCAAAAATTAACTTTTATTTCTTATTCTCCAGAGATTCCTGATTTTCTCGATGCTGACGAATGTGAACTTATCATAGCACTTGCTGAGAATAAAAGGCTTAGAGATAATCCTAAAAGAACGGATAGTAGAGGAATCTTATATGAGGATCCTGTTAACACTTTCAAGTTGTGGGACTTAAATGGAGATAATTACATTGACACAGAAGAGGTTAGTGGAACTGTACACCCTCTTAAATCAAAAATTATCTTCGTAAGTGTTTACTGTTGCTTGTTGAATCCACTGCAATCATCAGTCGTTTCCAAGAACAAGTTTTCCCATTTCACTTTTTCTGTCTCTTTTCCGGACCTATAGATCGTCAGAGATTTGTGCAGAAACATCCCTACCAACCAAGAGCGGTATTTGAGTAAATTTTTTGGAATATGAGGCGGGCTGCTCCTCCTTGGACACACTTCCATGAGCTCGAAGTTTATATATATTTCTTCAGGCCCGAAATTGGGAAGATGGGATGGGAGGGGAGTTAGTTTGTGCTCTTGCAAGGAAAAGAGAGACTGTTTCATGCTCCACCTACTTATGAAACACTTTCAGTGAATGCGCACACTCCGTTGCACATATATATTTTTTCAATTACAGATCGTTCTGATTCCTGGAAAAATGGATCTCAAGTTTACGGAGATAAACGCCACTGAAATGTATGTCGTCAACTTAAAATCCCACTTTTCACTCTTTTGGTCTCTATTCATACTCGATTATGCCCAGAATGCGGCTTATTGGATACCTACTAGACTGTACTGTAATAGCCGACGTCTAAAGTTGCTAATGAAAATTATTATGGCTTTAATCAAAGCTGTAATGTTGGTGAGCAACTCATATTTTCACTAAGTACATGCAGTTTCTGTAAAATACGTGAATATGCTAGTCGAGGCTTTTGCCTTCGCGCCTCACTGGTTTGTTGTAATTTTGCACTGAGTGGCTTTTCTTTGATTGTGAATTGACAGGATGAAGTCATTAGAAATGGATAAAGACGACAACGGTTTGTAAACTTTTCCTGTTTCATAACATTGTCTTTGTGTCATAACTGGTCACATTTTATCCCGGTTTCCTAAGCATGAAACGATTTTGGATATTTCTATCTGCACCCCGGAAAGGATGCTAGTCCACCCTTCGGTTACCCCCACCGTGAGAGTTATATGTCTCACCCAACAACTCAACGAAAGACCCTTTCAAGGGCTAAGCACGGAGACTCTCGATTTGAACTCCAAACCGCTAACCGTTAGGTCATCTCGCCTCTTATTGGTTTACCTCGAGTCTGATTCATCATATTTTATCGTCATCATCACCACCATGATCACTAATTCATCATTTTTTTCATGAGTAACCAAATCTTGCTTGGATATTGTTTAAAATCAGGGAAAATTGACTTGACTGAGTTCAAGAGCATAGAACTTGAGAGGATGCAAGAATACATAGCGGCTCTTTTGAATGATTCTTCATTAAGGCGAATAGCCAGCAGCAAGATTTCATGGTTATGGCACGATGAAGATGAACTGCTAAGATATCAGCCGGAATTACTTGACGGATTTCACGAACGGTACGTGCACACTACAACAGGCACCTTGAAGTGCTCCCTTCCATTCGTAATTCCTTTTCTTTGACCTTATTAAAGGCGGACACCCAGTCCCTAGGATGGATTCTTTGGTGTCCGTCCAACCGGGGCGTCCAACTTCAACAGAGTTGACTGTACGCCTGTATTTGACATTATTAGGGTTTGTATAAAGAGATTGCTTTGTGTTAAACTTGCTCCCACTTAGTTTCTAATGGTAAATTCCATTTTCCTTCTAGCCTACAAGCAATTACCAAGATACCAAAGGAGATATTACAAGAAAGTGAACCAATGCAGGCAAGAATATGGCTTTACTAAGCGTACTTCAGAGATACCAATTAAAATTTCTTCACTATATTTATCCCAGTCTTAACTTATGTTCTGGTTTGGGTCAGCCCTCGCAAGGTGATTTCGAGGGGTTCGGAGACACCTAAGACCTCCCAAGAAATAAACGGCAGGCTAAAGGTTTTTTTTTAATTACCCAATAGAGTTTAATATGTGCCCTTATTCACCTATTATCATCTGATCCCAGAAACGAAAACAATACTGTCTGACGGATAATACTGAATTAAATAAATTCAATTTTAGGTGTCACAATACGAAGAAGGTAGTTATCAATATTGTCAGCAAGACAGCGAGCCTACAATTAAAGGAGTCCCGTGCTGTCTCTATGGCGACATGAATCAATGCAGAATATGCAGGTATCTCATTAATCTTAGAAAAGAATATTTCTATAAATAACAGGAAAATAAATCAGTAATTTTATGATATAATAAATAGATTTATACCACTACATGAGAAATTTCTGCAATTTGATTGGCTTATAGCAGTGGTATTTCAGCTTAATTTGAAATACCCACATGTGAAAATTACAAACCTTTTGCGGGTAGTAGTATAAACAAATAATAGCATGATTGGTAAGTGATATTTGGCATAAATACCACTCATGATATTTCAAAATTGTCTCAAATTTTACTCGCCTAACGACTCGTGAAATTACGTTTAACAATTTGGAAATATCACTCGTGGTATTTATGCCAAACGTCACTACAAATCATACTATTACCTATACTAATACAAACTATAACCCTGATTTATTTTCATTAAAATAAATCATAAAATAAAATAAAATGTTTTTTTTATTATAATGACTAAACTTTCATGTCTATTTATATTATTTTGGAAGGTTTATAACAGTAACATATTTTTTAACTGATGTTGACGATGGAGGGGAAGTTGTTGTACCACTTGCCAACAACAAGTTTGAGGTAATTTCCTCCTAGTTATGTGTATACGGACTGGTATGCATTTCAAATATGTTGAAGGCTTTATTTCACGTGTACATCGTGAAACTAAACTTGGTTTTTATGACTGGTGTTCGCTTTATGTGTGCTAGTAATATCGTGATTGCCATGGTTTCTAGTTTCGATTTTAAGAATCGTTTAAAGACTTACCTTTTTAAAATGGCTTTTTACTTATAACTATTTTTTTTCTCTACATCTTAACCTTTAAACTTTTTAATTGTTTATACTTATTTATACTTTTACACTTTTGTATGATATACTTTTTATTTTTTTATATTTTGTATCACCTTTCATATTTTTGCAAATAGTGATGATGGCGCTATATAAATGTATTATTATTATTATTATTATCATTATTATTATCATTATTATTGATTATGCGATTTTTGACCCAATTTCATGCATGATCAATCCGAGAAGTAATCTAAATGCAATATTGACTCGCACCTATACGTTTTCTCTAGCTTGGCCCCGGCTACACATATTTACTGTCAGTTTCTAAAGTTTTGCCTGTCCTGTTGTGACAGACTGAAGTAATAACTTTGAGTTTGGTTCTACTTCATTCAGTAGGACGATCTCTAATCTACCTTTTTAATAAGAACCTTCTCTTATTTTTTAGGAAGACGTTATGAATAATTCAGGAAACTGGACGGGTTTCTTTACTTACGCCAAGACCACTGGAGGTCGCAACTCTTTCAAGGTTGACATCAAGTTTGAAGTCGACGGAGCTAACAAGATTCTTGTCGGTAAAGGTCATGATGCAAGCGGTGCATTCGAGTTAATTGACAGTTTAGTGACAGGGGACATTGTTCGATTTCGTAAAAAGTACCTTAATCAGGAGAATAATGGTGTGCTGATTAAATATGCCGGAAGATTAAAGGGTAATGCTCAGATAGAAGGAAAATGGTGGATTCCAGGCGAGAAGAAAATTCATGGATTTTTCTTCATGCGTTATGAGGCCTATGAGGTATGCTCGAGATCAAAATCTCAATTTTTCGTCAATTCTGGTCTGTTTATTAATTCCACTTTTTAGTCCCTTCAGTGAGGTCAATCATCAAGCCAAGGTGTGGCTAATTTTCAGTGCAATAGAAATAGGAAGACACGCACTAGACGTCCCTTATTTCGGAATCCTGTTTTTTGTTCCTTAAACTTGTTTCGGATGTCACCTAATTAAATGAAGATAACATTTTCCCCTAAAAACGAATGGACGAACGTATTTAGTTATCAACATCACTTTCCTATATAATTCCTGTGCTGGTTTGTAGCTGACGTAACGGCTGACGTCACGCAACTGACGGCATGGCGGCCATGTTGGTCTACAAGAACAAAAGAACTCTTTTTTCATGCAACTTCTCCGAAAAAAAAAGTTATTGCTCTGTCAATCAATATGGCCTCCTCGTCACGTGGTTGAAAACCAAGAAAAATGACGAACTTATGGTCTCGACTTATCTTTTTGTTTCATTTACGTTACAGAGATGGATGAATGATGCGCTAGGAAAATGCAACTCGTATGAATATTGCTCAAAGGGAAATCTAGTTATTAAACCTCAAAGAGGCAAGGCTATTATGTGGTATAACCACGTGATCAATGACGAAGGCAACTGGATTGGAGGCTTAGATAACAGGATGCATTATGGGCATTGTGACGTAAGTAGTGGAGAAAAGTGGATAGCTACAAATTGGATTAACGTAGATGGCGAGGGAGACATGGAATTACGAGCTTGGAGAAAGGGAAGCAATCTTTTATCGGTTGCTAGAAGGCACGGAAATGAGAATATACTACAAAGAATGCAAAAAAGTAGAGACAGAAGTCATACCGACGTCATCGAAGAAGAAATGCAAAGTGATATGGAAAACACTGAGGAATGGACGTTTCATGATTCTCATCCAAAGGAACGACATGTTCTTAACGCTGTGACGTCCCTTTTAGAAACCCTTAAGGAGGATGAACTGCGGAGTGTATCTAAAAAAGTGCACGAGAAACTTGAGATGTTGTGTGTTCCTCTGGTGCTAAACCAAGGAGGAAAAATTTCCTTAGTAGATGGTAGTAAGGCAGATTGATTAAATGTTTAGAAAATGCAGCTAAAATGTACAGTTTCTAGTCATATTTATCTTGAAATTTCAACTTCCAAAAGTAGTTATTAAAAAGTTATGTATCTCGTATAATTAAGATTACAACAAATTAAAAACTGTGGCAAAACTGTAAATATATTTTCTGTAATATTTTGCATATTTTGGTATAACTATTTTATTATTTCAGTAATTGCAATTACTTTTGGACGCATGAAATAAAACCTGTTTTCATGACAAATTAAATTTTTTTTCTGAAAATGTTGTTGTATTTTAGTATATTTAATTTCATATATGTACATGTAATGTTACTGAAGCCTGAACTGTGATATTGCGCTTTCAAGGGAGCCGTCACGATTTTCGGTTTTTGATACCTCTGATGGTTGACAAGAGACCATGGGAGGGTTTAGCCAATCGCATAAAAGCAGTGCAGTAACAAAGCAAAAGTACTCTTCACGGTACAGTGGACTGAAAATGGTTCCACTTTGTGAAAAGTGAAGAGATTGCAATGGTAGTTTTCTGACTCCGTTATTTTAATTTCTTAGCATGCATGCGCGCAGGACCGACGTTATATTACATCAAAATAACCTTTTAAAGTGCTAGCCTTAATTTTAATTGAGTTAATTGCATTTAAGAAGATGAAAACAAACGAAAACAAAAGCGAAATGACGACGAGATATTTCTCATATTTATCTGGGTCATTGCAAATTTTAATTTTTTTTTTTAGGCAAATATGTAAAAAAAAATTTTCGTTTGCTCACAAATGTCGGCCGTGATTAGAGAGGCTAGATTCAAATATCAAGCTGTAAAGCTCAGTCACCGAGGTTCATGGCTTGTGCCAATTAGAAACCGAGAAACACTGGACAAGAGTTTGAGCAGCTGAGTGCCAGGTACTTGCTGCCCACCTGTTGAAAGTGGATGAATAAATTATCAGCGGAATAAATTAACTTTAAGCCATGGCAGATGTTCAAGAATGATTCAACTGCACAGTGATTTCTTCAAAACCGGAAAATTTTATTATCTATTTAATCATTAGGTGTTTTCCCGCATATTATGGGAACGTGGGTTCATCATGTTCTGATAGTGATCTACTCCCTAATTACGTTTCACGGAGATCATGTGGTTAAATCAAAGCAATTTGGTGATGGTCAAATCAATCAGTGTCACGACAGAAACGGAGACTGCTGGACTGAGCGAACTAAGAGTCAATTTTTTCTGGGATTACCTCGACTAGATGCAGTAAAGGTAATGAATTTTTTCTTTTTCGTATTTTATAGACAGCGAGAATTATATACCTGTATACCAATCCAGATGCTTAGCTTGGAAAAATATGTAACACTTGTGTCTTGACTCTCTTGCTTTCTACTTGCTTCTCAGTTTGCACTGGCAAAGGATAAAATGGGAGCATTTCTTTGGGTAACACCTTCAGGAAATGCAAAGGGTCAGCTTTCAGTACTAAAAACTTGGCGTTGCCCGCGTATTTTAGCAGCTATTACTGGAATGCTAGAGCTTATTAAGAGAGTAGCTTCACATCAGCTGTTATTATTTCAATCAGCAGCCTAAGTGCTTTTTTTGTGATCTTCGCTAAAAGTTATGATAGTTGTAGGCTTGTCATGGTACAAGAAAAAATCATCGATGCCCTATATATAGCCGTTCAAAATCCATGGGACCATAGCTAAGAACAACTACTCTTACCTTTAATTCTTTGGACAAAAGTGAACTTAAACGATTCAAGCGGGACACAATGTAGAGTTCCAGTTGGATTTATTTATTATTGTTGTTATTTTTAAACAGTTAATAAAACGAGTTTCTTTCTTAAAACTGAATAGAACGGATTTTATTAAATAGTCTGTTACAATTAGACCTGCACCTCGTCCTAAAGGAACGTGTGCTAGGAACTTAAGAACTGTGTTTTGGGACAAAACGAAGACTAAATTTTGAAGTAATTAGATCAGTTACATGCACAGTTGTCATATTTACTGTTTATGCACGGAGCCATGAGCATTTTCCCACGCCTGAGCAACTTAAATAAATTAGATTCATTGCATAGCATAGTGATATGAACAGCTATTCCGGGTTAATAACTCTACTGTCATGACATATTGAGAAGTCAGTAAGTAACCGTTCCAAATAAACAAGAAAGTTAAACTAAAGTGTGTAAAAGAATTTTCACCAACGGGGGGTAATACAAAAATACTCAATGTAGAGAGAACACAGCTATATCTGTCTTTAAGCCAAAAATTAGACTGCAAAACAGTCCGTGTATTTTTGCGTATTCAAGTACGCCCGAGCAGTCAAACAAAAGGTCTGGAACGAGGCTGAAAACAGAGAGCGAGACTGGGAAGAGTGTGAGGCTTGCGCGCTTCGCGTGCGCAAGACTCTTACTCCACGCTTTACCGATTTCTTTACTGATTTTGGGAAAAAAAAACGACTGTTCTGCAGTCTAGCCAAAAATGTCCGTAGATCGCTCTTTGCCACTGCAAAACTGAAGGAAAGAAAGAATGGACTAGGCGTCTGTTCAAGTTTTTGGAAGGTAAATTTTTAAGACTATAAATTATTGAGACAATGTCGTCCAATAGAGTATATTTAGAAAAACAAAATAATCTCTATCACTTTCCCCCTTCCAACTTATCCACGATTGGTTGTTTATTGATTCCTCAGCGGACAACAAGACAATATTTTATAAAATCGTTAGGAATTTCGTCCATTTTATGGATATGTCTTTATATTAAAAGAAAATTTCTCAATTATTCTAGGTGGGTTACACTCAAGAAATGGAATTGACAAAAGGTAGCATTCACTCTGTGAAGACTCTTAGTTTACAGCCACCAGTGTTTGGTACGTGAGTACTCTTAGCTGTCCTTAAACAAAAATACAATTGACCAATAGACACCCTTGGCATGCGAAAAAGGTGTTCGTAACTGGAGTTGGCCTCTTACAGGAATGAAAAATACAGAGTTTGTTTGGGAGTTGAGAAAAACGGGGTTTTGTGAAGGTGGCTGCAAGTAGAGCTGTCCGCTTACGAGAGTGTCTGGAGAACTTCCACTGTATTATTGATTCCTTTTAATAGTATCATACACGGTTTTCTTTGTTTCAAATTTACGTTCGACAGAAATCCCAAACTTCTTCACGGATGAGGAATGTGAAATGATTATAGATTTGGCTCAAGAAAAAGGTCTGAAAGATAGTCCTCTGACCCCAGATACTAACAACATCGATGATAAAGATTCCATTGATAGCGTATTAAAGGCATGGGACAGAAATGAAGATGGATTTGTTGACAAGGATGAGGTAAGATTCCTAACTTTACTTTGGTTTTTTTCTTTTTGGTAGACGCTGGGTGGTTATGGTATTAATTCAAGTTTCACTCGTGTTTAACAAATAGTATGACACAAATACTCAAGTTTTTTCGAACCTCATGTTAAGAAAGAACTATAACTTTTCCTGCTATTGTATTCCACTTTACTGAACAGGCTCTTTATCAACCTGGTAAACGAAACGTTTACATGACAGAAGAAGACGTGCTAGAAATGTAAGTTTTTTTGAGTTCCTACCGATTTAGAAACAAAACGTTCTTTTTATGTTTTGTTATTTTTCTCCTATTTCTGATTTATTGCAATGTTTCATTTTAGGTTTAAAGCCCTAAACCTTGATCAAGATAAAGATGGTATGTAGTTAGATGATCCTCCTCCTCCTCCTCCTTTTTCTTCTTCTTCTTCTTCTTCTTCTTCTTCTTCTTCTTCTTCGTATTATTATTATTATTATTATTATTATTATTATTATCATTATTATTATTATTATTATTTTCTCACTCTTTTACTTTACTTCAGTTAGTGGAACTGTTCCCAGGTGAATTGACCTAAAAAGAGCTACAAAGGTTCTGATTTTCAACTCTTTCGAGGTGGCCAATTTCTCTTTGCTATGATCTTTTTTCACACCATCTGATTTATGCAACGCTAAATAGATTTTATAACAAACCTATAGGAAGAGTTCCGTTAAAGAACTTAGACCACACTTCATTGGAAAATATCCACGCTTATATTGACAAGGAAGTAGCAAAGAAGCCGCGCATGCGCGTTCAAAACAGTGAACAAGTTTGGTTATGGCACGATGATGACGAACTTCTGCAGTACGAAGGTCTGCTTGAAGACTATCACGAGAGGTAGATTAAAGTTATTTCAATGTTTGCAACAGTTCATTTTTGTCTGTTTATTCAGAAAAGAACAAATTCAAACAAATAGACAGCTAAAATGCAGATTTTACTGTTTTAAGAAACGCTTTCTTTAATTTTTCAGAATTGAGCAACTTACCAAACTACTAAAGCCAATCCTACAGCAAAGCGAGCCACTGCAGGTAAGTTAAAGGGATATCTTCACGGTAGACTAGCAATTTTAGTTTTCCATCGGCAGAAACTTCCCATATACAGTTCAAAGATGGAGATTTTTGTAGACTCGATAGATTCATAGACTCGATTTCGAGTTGGGATTATTTCCCTCGACCTTTCCTGTTTCCTGAATGAAAGAGGTTAATCTCTTTTGTCTTATGCCCAAGGTGGTACGTTACAAAGAAGGAAGTCATTATCACTGTCACCATGACAGCGAAGAAATCGCGCATGACAAACCTTGTTGCTTGTATGGCTCTAAAGATTGCAGGCTCTGCCGGTAAGTAAATTACACGCCACATATCCAAAAAAAACAGCTTTACAATTTCTAGCAGGGTATTTTCATGATAGTGTTACTTTTTAACTGTCAGATATCTGACGATCATGGTTTTTCTAAATGATGTCGAAGAAGGAGGAGAATGTGCATTTCCCATTGCTGATAACAAAACTTTCAGTTGGAAGGTATGACCAAGTAAAAAAATCATTACGTCCAGAAACTATGACAATACTGCCTGTAGCATTATTTTAACTTAGGTCAAATGTAATCATGTTAGGATTGCAGCTTAATTAAAAAAAAAATCAGAATTCTTTTCGTTTTTGCTTTCTGATTTAAATTTGTCAATCCCGCTGAGGTTTAAAAAACAATTGCCCTAATTTACCCAAGTAATCAACAAACTGAAGGATTCTGGTAGTTGTAGTAAGATGATGTCATCGTGCAATTATCCTATTAGTTCTCCTTTTTTGGCTATTTTGAGATGTAGAGTAAGACTGGGTCGCAGTTGTGCCGCGTTGCATGTGAAACTGCTGTGGGGATGCCAAAACGTCTTTCATTGGCTACTACAAAGTTACACCGGAAGCTGGGTCAATCAAAACAGCACTAGGATGCAATTCCACGCAACGCAGAGCGTTTTCGCATGACGTCACATCCGCCATATTCGTGTTCCAAAACAATGAAATTGCAGCCATGTTGGTCTCCCAAACCAGCGTTATTGTTCCAATAAATTTGCATAGCCGCTGGTCACGTGACTGAAAACGCTCTAAATAAACTGAAAGAGTTAAAAGATGAGAACATATTTTATCTTTTTCTCTGTTCATAGGAGTGGTCAAAGCAATCACCGCATAGATGTAACATGGTAACGAACTGCGCTGAGTCTAACTTAGTTATCAAACCTCAGAGAGGCAAGGCATTAATGTGGTACAATCATAAGCTACGTGGTTCACAGGGATGGTTCGGTGATTTAGACCCGCTGTCATATCAGGGAAGCTGTGAAGTCAAGAAAAGTGAAAAATGGGTCGCGAAGATTTGGGTCAACATTAACGGCGATGGAAGGAAGGAATTACGTGCNTCTAACTTAGTTATCAAACCTCAGAGAGGCAAGGCATTAATGTGGTACAATCATAAGCTACGTGGTTCACAGGGATGGTTCGGTGATTTAGACCCGCTGTCATATCAGGGAAGCTGTGAAGTCAAGAAAAGTGAAAAATGGGTCGCGAAGATTTGGGTCAACATTAACGGCGATGGAAGGAAGGAATTACGTGCGTGGAAAATGGGCCACAACTGGCTGGCAGAAAATAATCGTAATGAAGAGATTATGAATATGTTGCAGACAGAAGTTGTAGAAGAAACAGTGGCTGAAAATAGATATACGAAACATAAAAATGTGGAGGTTAATGACGGAGTAAAATTTGATTTAGTTGGTCATCCTAACGTCAAAGGGGAAAGCTCTTGGGAAGAAAATACTGATGCTAAGGAGGACAGTGGCAAATATTATACTCAAAATAAACTGCAATTAACTGAGGAATCTTTAAAAGATTCTTCCAAGGCCACCCCTGAGGGGCCAAAATTATCAAGAACTGAAACATCTTCCCCTCTTCCACTAACGGAAGAGCAAATGACTCTTAAAGGGCCTCCAGTAGGCCAGTTACCCACTCAAGGATTTGAAGGCAGTCGCATTGTGCAGTCTATAATGCTTTTATTGGAAGAACTTGATCAAGTTGAACTTGAAATTATCGCGAGGAACTTACACACGAAACTTAAACTCGTTTGTGTCCCACTTATTGTGAATCCCATGGGGCGACTTTAGCTCCAACAAATATTGAACGATCGACGTTTTTAAAATTGAATATAGACAACTTGTTGCTATGGCTAATTACAACATTGTTTATACCTCATCACTTCAGGGACCATTATCGTATGTCGTTGCTAGGTAACGCGGTTACTGAGCAAGTGAAAATTGGCTTCCTTTATTCGTTTTTCACGTGTTTTTGGATTACCGGCCGCGCTGGTCGCGGGACTTTTTTTCGTGCCACCAGTGGTATCGCTTCCTTGTCGTTTACGGTACTGCATGATTCCAGTGCAAAGTTACGGAAAGGTATAATTATGAATCAAGAGGATTTATCATATTTATAGCGAAAAGTCTTTTACATGTGTGTATCGACCAAGAAGACTCGCGCTGTAAAAGGACTGTCTGAACACAAGAGCTTTTTAGTTTCTTCACCAAATGGTCAAGTTGAAAGTTTTTCCTTTTCCATTTCATTTAAAACAGTTCAGGGTCGACATCGAGTTACGTGATGCGTGTTGCTTTCGGCGGAAGTAAACCGGGTAGTCATTTTGTTCTTCAAATCAATTGAAAAATCTGTTTCTTGAAACTTTCGCATACTATTTGCGAAATTTCAAAAAAACGGGCAAATTATGTCGGAGTGTTGCTTGCGGAACACAATATTCCATTCTCCTTTCTAAATGAAATAACCATCACGATAGTACTAAATATTTCAAGCCAAAATGTACATTTTTTTAAGGAAAACACGATTTCCTGCATTTGGTCACGTGACACTGGGTGTGTCCTGATGACGTTACAAGGAGAGGCAACCGCTTCCTTTTAGGGATAGCCGGAGTTCGCCCCTCCCTGCATTGCCCTCTAAACTCTCCTCACCCCTAACCCCTATGGAAGGCCTGTGGCCAAGTGACATCGATTGTGTCTTTATGAAGTCACAAATCAAACCAAATCAAATCAAATCACTGGTTTATTGTCCCTTTTGCAGTCAGAAGACTGAATTGTAGGATACCTTACAAGCTGTGATATATATACTAATACGCCACGTTTATTGACAAGATTGATATTGAACACTAACGAAATTTGAGAAACGTTCAGTCCTTATGGCCATAGGCCTGCTAGAACTCCCTGATCTTAGACACACACTGATAGATATAGGTACTAGTCTGTTGCGTATTAGTGAGTAAAATGGGTTACCTGGCCGAACCTTACCAAGCAAAAGTACCGGTCCCTTTTAAGGATAGCCTGAGCACCCCCTCCCCCTCCCCCTCCCCCTCCCCCTTTCCCGCATTGCCATCTAAAATCTCTTCCCCCTAATCCTTATAGAAGGCCTGATAGTCAGGCTATTTTAGGGACCACCGTTTGTTTTATTTTAAATGTAAGGACCTGGAAAAAGGAAAATTAAACATTTGAGCCAGGCAAAACATTCTTATCAACTTCAAAGCTGTTGCAAATCCATTTTTTCGCTTTATGAAATTAAATTATAAATTATGATGAAACAAAAGTACAGCATGTTATAGATAGTGTCTATGGTACAATGATGGTCCTATTTCTACTCTCTGAATGTAATTACTATTTATGATATTATTCATGTGGTGAAGTATAAATTTAAATAATTGTACAACCCCTGACTAAGAAAGTGGATTATCCTCGGCCAAGTAGAAAGCGATCCAGTTAAGACTTGGTTTAACGTTTCAGCCATCTGAGCCTTTGTCTGCGGTGTTAAAATAGCACACATCTTTTTGCCAGTTCGTGAATTTTTCAGTGACCACATGTCTGCTCACTTTGTCAATTATTTTCACATGGTGCTCATTACGTGTAGTTTCACAGAGGGAGCTGGTAAGTCGTTGGTAGTAATCCCTGAAGATTGTTCAAGTTTTTGTAGGATCATCAGCACGAGAAACAGTTCCATAAACTTTGTAGACAGCCATGTCATACTTTCGTCTGCATCGTTTCATTTCCTCGTTTTGCTGGCGAAAATATTCCAACAGTTCTTCTGTGATTCTAGTTCCCTTAGCCTGGCCATTCTTTTCCTCCGGAAGATCCTGGCAATGTTTTATGCTGGTTGGTTTTTTACTGTCGAATGTCGTAGAATTTGACTTTTCTTGTTGATCAGAATTACACGAACTCATAACGCACTGTTTTCAGTAGAAAGAACTGAGAAAAATGAATAGCTAGACTGAAAAGCAGCGAATCAGAATTTTGAACTTTGCAGGATTTCGAAATCTTCGGCATTTTTTAACACCCTCCCAATTGAGGTGACTGACGTCGGTTTAAAGCGCGTCACTTCCGCTCATTTCCTCTGTCTATGTACGCTCTTTTTTTAACTAGAAAAAGATAACATTTGCATTAGTTACCGCTTGAAAATAACCTTGAGGAAAAATCATGGCAAGACTACGGTTTGCAGGCTAACAACCGTAACACAGAAACAAATGAAAGCTCTTACTGTCTAAGATCTAAAATCCGAAAGTGGCGTAAATCATTTCTCAGGGATAGCCTGAGCTCGCCCCTCCCCTCATTGCCCTCTAAAATCTCCTCACACCTAAACCCTATGGAAGGCCTGTGGCCAAGTAACATGGAGTGTGTCCTTTTAACGTCACAAATTGAAGTACCCGTCCCTTTCAGGGATAGCCTGAGTTCACCATTCCCCTTATTGCCCTCCAAAATCGCCTCACACCTAAACCCTATGGAAGGCCTGTGGCCAAGTGACATCGGTTGTGTCCTGATGACGTCACAAACAGACGTACCGGTCCCTTTTAAGGATAACATGAGTTCACCCCTCCCCCCATTGCCCTCTCACCCCTCACCCCTCACCCCTAACCCCTAACCCCTATGGAAGGCTAGATACTCAGTCTATTTTAGGGATCACTGTTTGTTTATTTTAAATGTAAGAGCCTGGAAAAGGAAATAACAGAAATTCGAGCCAAACAAAACACTCTTATCAGCTTCAAACCTATTGCAAATCCATTTTTTCGCTTTATGAAATGAAATTATAAATTTTGATGAAAGAAAAGTACAGCATATCTTAGATAGTTTCTTTGGGTCAAATGACTGCTGGCCCTATTTCTACTATATGGATGTAATTACCATTTATGATATTATTTATGTGATTGAGTATAAATTTCAATAATTGTACGCCTCAAAACTGAGTGGATTATCCTCAGCCACTGTAGAAAGCGATCCAGTTAATTAAAATTAAAAGACATGGCTGAAAGGTTAAAACCTTTCAGCCATCTTAGCCTTTGTCAGTAGTGTTAAAGTAACACACATTTTTTCACCAGTTCGTGAACAGTTTCAGTGACTACATATCTGTTCACTTTGTCAATTATTTCACATTGTGCTCATTAAGTGTAGTTCCAAAGAGAGAGCTGAAAAGTCGCTAGTAGTAATCAAGATTGTTCAAGTTTTTGTGGGATTATCGGCTCAAGGAACAGTTCCATAAACTTTGTAGACAGCCATGTCATACTTTCGTCTGCATCGTTCCATTTCCTCGTTTTGCTGGCGAAAATATTCTAACAGCTCGTCTGTGATTCTGGTTCCCTTAACTTGGCCATTCTTTTCCTCCGGAAGATCCTGGCAATGTTTTATGCTGGTTGGTTTTTTACTGTCGATTATCTTAGTACCTGACTTTTCTTGTTGATCAGAATTACACGAACTCATAACGGACAGTTTTCAGCGGAAAGAACTGAGAAACATGAACAGCTAGACTGAAAAGCAACGAATCAGAATTTTGAACTTTGCAGGATTTCGAAATCTTCGGCATTTTTTAACACCCTCCAATTGAAATGACTGACGTCGGTTTAAGGCGCGTCATCGTCATCCGCTCATTTCCTCTGTCTATGTACGCTTTTTTTTTCTTTTTCTTTTCTTTTTTTTTTGAGTAAAAAAAGTTAACATTAGTTACAGCTTGAAAACAACCTTCAGGAAGAATCATTGCGAGAATACGGTTTACAAGCTTACAACCGTAACACAGAGGCAACTGAAAGCTCTTACTTTCTAAGATCAAAAAGCCGAAAGTGAAACCTTTGCAATTACAAAACGTCCACGCCGCCGAACAGCTCGTATAATTTATACCTTTTTTCCTTACTATCTTGACCAGCGGTTTCTATGACGAGTGCTACGAACTCAGCAGTTCAACTCCGAGAAGAAACTACCATGTAACGGTTAGCAATATACGTGGTAAAGTTTCGCTAAATAGGTTTAATAGGCGCGTGTTTATGAAAAAGATACCGACATTGGCAATGTATAATAAATTGCTTCAAATTCTATTGACTTGTCGAACCACCTTCGCCGTTTATCTGAACATCGTGCGACAGAAGAGTACATTTAATAAAGCCGGCCCTTTTTGTTCTTTTTCTTCCTTCGCGGGTACACCAGTCCTGTTTATTGAAAAGCAACAGAATTTGATATAAGACAACGTGCATTAAGGAATTTTTCCCATCAGTCAACATAGCCTGTTGTGCACTGATCGATCCGTTTCGCCTCTCTTACTAATTTAATCCTTTCACTACCTACAATCATATAATTATATATAGATCTGTAATAATTTTGTTCAACGTCTGAGTCTGCAGATCAAATCCTGTGATGCGACCATTTAAATTCGACTTCTCAAAAGTTATTTTCACATTCCTTGATTAATTTGTTTTCCAAACTTCCGAATTTCAGTTTTTTGTATGTCTACTTTTACATGAAGTTATTTGAAATGCACAACACGTGTTATGGACTCATAAGCTACAGCAGCGCTTACAACTGGTAACGACAATTATTAACTTTCATAGTCACAGTGACCTCAAAAATAAAGCTCGCAAAGAAGAAATTTGAAGGAACAAGTCTTTGTTTTACAGTAAAACGTTTATAGTCAAAAACTGCAGATGAAATTATCAGCGAAAATGGATACTAACAAAAGTCACCAGCTTTTTATTAATATAATCAGTTACTTCTTCGTAGCTAATCAGCTACACACTTCAAATTGTTTCTTGGCTAGCTTTATTTTTTCGGCCACTGTGACTTTGAAAGTTTATATTTTATTTCTTCTTAGCTAATCAACTAAACCCACAAGATGGTAGAAAAATGCATGTTATGTCAACTAATGAGGATGAAATTTCGTTTAAGTATGGCCACGAAGGAAATATAAAAACAGTCTTTGAGCGACTTAAACCTCGTTCCCAGAGTGCCTTTCCAAACCATTTAATCTTTGTTACACTGGGAAAATGCTGCCAACCGAATGGGGATTGTTGAGTCCAAACCGATAGTTTTCAATGAATTTAGACGCCATTCATTAAGAGGTCTTTAAACAATCTATGCACGTGGTCATCTTTTTTGAACAATATTTTGAACTGATTAATCAAGCACTCTTTATAGAAATTTGAAATGTTTCATAGAACAGCTGTTTACAATGAATCCTGCTTTTGCGTCATCGCCTCTTTCCTTTGTTCTTGTGCAGGAACCTGCCAAAATCGCAAACATAGACTTAAGCCACAAGCACAAAAACTTCAGTTACAGCGTGCAGTTTCAAACAAGAACTTTGGTTTTATGTACGAGAATGGAAAACTGGAAGTATTTCTTTGTATCTAGTTTCGTCTTGTTATGTTGTTTGAGGGACGCAAAGAGTGACAAATCGGATATCGAAATTGATAAAACTAAATGGACTCCTAAACTGCGAGACCCAGTGAAGGTAAAATTCTTTATTAAGTCTGTTCCGGCAAGTTTCAGTTCAAAATGTCGGATTGCTGTTTGAAATTGCAATAGCAGCCAGCCAGCAATTCATTGAAGTTTCGCAGAAAAAAGTCGAGAGAAAATAAACCGAGTGGGACTATAGGAGGTTTGAGGACTTATTATATAGGAGTTCGGTATCACTGTGATCTATAAGAGTGAAATTACCCTAGCATAGATAGACTCTGCAGTTAAACCGTCACTTAAAAGGGATGTTTGGAAATCCTCTTTAAATCTTTTTGGTAATTATTTAGATCATGCATGTTCGCGGAAAGGAAGACCTCTATTTTACTGAAGAAGATCTCCTTGACATGTAAGTATGAATGACTAGTTGTAACACAGGCAGCCTAAGCGCAGTCACGCCACACCCTTGGGCTGTCTGTGGCTGGAAGACGGCAAAGATGACTGAGCCCAAACCATTTCTCAAAAGATCTTGCATCCGATCATTGTCGGGCTCACGCTTTTATTTTGTTACTAGAATTATATCTGCAAGAAACTCGTAAGCTATAAACCATCTCTGACAGTTCAAAGTTAAAAGAATTGTTTTTCGTATATTTCCGCCTTTTTTCTTAAACATCTAGCCAAGTTTTCATTTAATTGAAAAAAAGGCTCAATTGGTTTGCAGTCCTTGGTTCAATAATTTTTGGAGAATTTTTGGATGATTTTCTGAATGTTTTCAGTGTATAAAAATTAGAGGGGTAATTGAAAAATCTTTGGAAAACTGGAAAAATTGGATTTGAGGGTTGTTAAAAATTAAAATATGCATTGAATAATTAGTAGACAAATACTGGTTTATGTGTATACCTTTTGTTCCCTAATTGATTTCTTTTCCAAATCAACATAATTTCCTCCAAAAGACACCCAGACTGTCTCCCCCCTTAAACAAATGAAGGATAGTTTTTCAATTAACAGTTTATGATACATATGTTAACTCGTAGGTTTAAAGAACTTGACATGGATAAGGACGATAATGGTAAGTAGTGAAAACAGCAATGTTGTTTTGATCACAAACATAGCCTTTACTTCTTGCTTCTTCACATAAGTAGTTTACAATAATGAAACATCCTTATTTAAGTTACTAAGAAAATATCTTATCTTAACTCCTGATTGTTTTGTTCAAAATGTCGGATTGCTGTTTGAAATTGCAATAGCAGCCAGCCAGCAATTCATTGAAGTTTCGCAGAAAAAAGTCGAGAGAAAATAAACCGAGTGGGACTTTTCAGGAACAAAGTAAAATCGTCTTGCTTTTGCACGCTTGACTTCACCAGCGAACTACAAAATTCCTGTTATTACAGCTTTGACGGAAGAAGGAAATGTCCTGATAATATGAAAATCATTTTGAGACAAATATATTTTCTTATACGAAAAAGTTAAAAAAGACTAAACTAAAAAATTCAATCATAGTTTTTTGGCTTGAATATCACGTTATCAGCCTAGTAACTATATACTTAGTCTCAATTCATTTCAAACGACGTCTACGAGCACGTGAGAGGGTAATCTTTTATAAAAGCGTACCTGATTCAATTGTTTTTCCTTTACTAACCAGAGGATAAATACATTGCTTAACGGTAATGTTTTTTTTTTTAAAAAAATCCTTTAAAATAGTCTAACAGTAATTCATGAGTTGAATCATTTTACAAGATATTAAGGAAAGCCTCTCTCGTTTTTAATATCACTTACTTGCTCGTTTTCTTAGTCTGAACTGTCACACGCTGTGGGTTAGGGGTATGTGGAACCAAATGACATATCAGACTATCATTTTCTTGGAGAATCTTGATTGAAATGAGTCTTAAATTGCCAGCAGAAAACACATCCTAAGTTTTTTTGTTTTCTTTGTTTGTTTGTTTTTGTTTTTGCCGTTTTGATGCTCCCAGCTGCTTGATCGTAATAGTCGATAGCCTCGTAGCCTGCGTAGCAGGCGCCTGGAAGAAATGCATGGGTGCAAGCGCAGGCTAGTAGCCTCGGTTCAGGCCACGTAGTGAAAGGGCAAGGATTCCTCGCACGTTTCTCGCGTTCGTGTTCACTTTAACTCAAAATATGCAACAAGGTTTTTAAAGTATTTTTTGCTTTGTTCAATTCATATTTCTTAATTCGTTAAGCTGAATTTGTTTTGTAGATTGGTCATGTAGAGGAGGTGAAGGTATTTCCATTCCACTTCAGGAAAGTCAAAACAATTAGCCTAAAGCCGCCGATATTTGGTGAGTTGCGCAATGAAGTGGCAAGTAAAATTTCAGCACTCTCTCGTTTTGGTACTTATACGAGGATAGTTTTAGCACAGAACTGATTTCTCTCTCCATATTCTGAGTTCTGCAAGCCGTAGCTTGGGCGGAGAAAGAAACTAGATCAGCTGTCTAAAAGATAAACAAAGACCGCGATAAAGTTGACGATAGGTAGAAAACTATCTTAAATTTTCTACTGTTAACTGTCGTGTGTTCTATATATAGCGGAGACAACAGGATTCACTGAAACAAGTAAAATTCTAATTTTTTCCTTTAAAGAGATTCCCGAATTTCTTACTGATGTGGAATGTGACCACCTGGTGAGCTATGCCAGACGACTTGGTTTAGAGAAGAGCCCTTTAGCAAAATCTGAAAAAACCATTGATGATGAAACTTCAGAAAGGACTTTTAAAATTTGGGATAATAACCATGATGGATTTATTGAACCTGTTGAGGTACGTAAGATTTGTAATTTTCGACCCTAAACCTCCAGAAAAACGTTTTTTGCACATCCAGCGCGCTCTAACACTTGTTATTTATTACGCTGATTTAGCAACAGGACGGGAACGTCAGTTGACGACGGGAAAGCGCGCGGAAAGGACTAAACACGACTTCCGGTGCCCAATTTGCCGCTCTGCTATTGGTCAAGCCAGTTGTTTAATTTGTGCGCGCCGTCGTTAACTGACGTTCCTGTTCTGTTGCTAAATCATCCTATTGGAACCCTATTGGCCACTTTGACCGGGTCGAGAGGGTTGCCAAAGCGCACTGTGGGACTGTTTTGGGGGACGAATTTGCCGCCATGTTGAAAATGCGTCCCCCAAAACAGTCCCACAAAGCACTTTGACAACCATCTTGAGCCGGTCTCCCGCGCAACCTCAAAGTGGTGAATATATGGTCCGCGAGCAACAAGATCTAGCGAATCCTGTGTTCTGATTGGCTACCCGAGCTGGCAAGATGGGCCCATCTTGACCGCGCGCGTTCGGGGTTTCCCGGGTTGGTCCCGCAAGGAATAGTTTCTTTTTTGACCATATAATAATATTCTGTATTGACCAAGCTTGTTCGTGGCCTCCTTCATTACCTTCATTATCTAGCCATCATCATTGTACGTTTCTGGGAAACTGCCCACCTACCCCTCCCCTAAGCCAACATTTTGCCCTAAGTGAGAGGTGAGTTTTAATGTTGGCTTAGGGGAGGGGTAGGTAGGTAATTCTCACTCTTTGATAGTATAATAAAAACTAACAGGTGAGGGATTTATCAAAATCAAAACAAGAAACAATACCGAGTCGAGCCGGTTCTAAGACTAGACTCAGACTGCGAGTTTATGAGAAAACATTCAAGATCTTTTCTATAGATGTATTTATCTTTTATCATTCCTTGCGTTTGTGTCCTTATTTCTGTGTTTTATCGAATTTTAAGACACTCGCATTAATTTTATTTGTTCTTCGTGAATTATATAGGAGGTTTGAGGACTTATTATATAGGAGTTCGGTATCACTGTGATCTATAAGAGTGAAATTACCCTAGCATAGATAGACTCTGCAGTTAAACCGTCACTTAAAAGGGATGTTTGGAAATCCTCTTTAAATCTTTTTGGTAATTATTTAGATCATGCATGTTCGCGGAAAGGAAGACCTCTATTTTACTGAAGAAGATCTCCTTGACATGTAAGTATGAATGACTAGTTGTAACACAGGCAGCCTAAGCGCAGTCACGCCACACCCTTGGGCTGTCTGTGGCTGGAAGACGGCAAAGATGACTGAGCCCAAACCATTTCTCAAAAGATCTTGCATCCGATCATTGTCGGGCTCACGCTTTTATTTTGTTACTAGAATTATATCTGCAAGAAACTCGTAAGCTATAAACCATCTCTGACAGTTCAAAGTTAAAAGAATTGTTTTTCGTATATTTCCGCCTTTTTTCTTAAACATCTAGCCAAGTTTTCATTTAATTGAAAAAAAGGCTCAATTGGTTTGCAGTCCTTGGTTCAATAATTTTTGGAGAATTTTTGGATGATTTTCTGAATGTTTTCAGTGTATAAAAATTAGAGGGGTAATTGAAAAATCTTTGGAAAACTGGAAAAATTGGATTTGAGGGTTGTTAAAAATTAAAATATGCATTGAATAATTAGTAGACAAATACTGGTTTATGTGTATACCTTTTGTTCCCTAATTGATTTCTTTTCCAAATCAACATAATTTCCTCCAAAAGACACCCAGACTGTCTCCCCCCTTAAACAAATGAAGGATAGTTTTTCAATTAACAGTTTATGATACATATGTTAACTCGTAGGTTTAAAGAACTTGACATGGATAAGGACGATAATGGTAAGTAGTGAAAACAGCAATGTTGTTTTGATCACAAACATAGCCTTTACTTCTTGCTTCTTCACATAAGTAGTTTACAATAATGAAACATCCTTATTTAAGTTACTAAGAAAATATCTTATCTTAACTCCTGATTGTTTTAAATGCTAGGAAAAATTGATTTCGAAGAATTCAGCAAAGTAACGGTGCCAGTTATGAAAGAATACTTCGATAAAGTACGAAGAACAAAGCCTCGACTGCGCAGCCGTAACAGTAGACAGGTCTGGATGTTCCATAACGATCCTAAGTACCCAATTCTCTCGGATTTTCATGGCAGGTAGGAGAATGGTACCAATAAGCAAGCCAGTCAAAGTTTGGTTGGCAATGCGGTAAAATTTAGCAGCAGCAATGATTACCGCAGGAAAAAAATTGCCAGGCTTTCCAGTATTCTATATTGGCTTTTTCTAATGCACGTCGAAGATGAAGAGAAACTTTGATTTAGGTGATATTATAGCCTTAATTACTGGCCTGTTAATTACTTTATCTTACTTATAATTCTTTTAGGTTGTCACGGTTGACTTTTCTCCCTGAAGAGTTCATAAACAACACAGAACCGCTTCAGGTACGTCAGAATTTTTCAATTCACTTGACAACGAGGTCAATCCCTTTCCTCTTTTAAGAAAATACTGAAGATTAAATTATTGAGTAAATATGAACGACTTTTCGCCATCTTTTCTTCAATTGATTTTAAACAGCTCTAGCCCGTAGCTCGGGCTCGGAATAATCTTTCAACATGATTTTGCATAACAACTTGAGTCAGTTCTATTTCTTTTACCATAATAAGCGGTTTTTTCCTTTCAACGTATTACTGCTTCTACACCAGGTTGTTAAGTATGATGTACACGGACATTACCACTGTCATCACGACTCAGACGAAGTGGATCCCACTCTTCCGTGTTGCACTTTCTCAACAGAGGAAAACTGCCGACTTTGCAGGTCAGTGGATTTGTTTGCCATCTTATTAGATGGTGTGGATTCACTTACTGAAGTTCAAAATGAATTTTAAAAAATCTCCACTCTAAACTTCACATAATTTCAGTGTTTTGAGCCTTTCTTGTAAATTATAACGATACCTAGTCTCAATTTCATTTATTTTTCCTTTCTGACGACGACAGTTATCTCACTCTTGTCATAATCATCATCATCATCATTCTAATTGCATTGCATCTCCTTGATTTATCCGACAGATTTGCAACAGTTTTAATTTATCTGAACGAACCAAAACAAGGAGGAGAAACAGCTTTTCCTTTAGCAGGAAATGAAACCTTTTCCATGGAGGTGGGTTTGAAATAATATCACTTTCGATGCGCATGTGATGTAACGAGAATGCAGAGGGTTCAATCAACCACAAGACCTCTGTCACAGTCTTTCCTTTCACCTATTAAGTAGTAACGATTAGACCTTTCCCGTACTTTGCATTGATTGTTATTATTTAAAACAACCTACGATAGTTGTAGATGATCATAAAATCAAGTCTTTTAAGATGTTTCTGATCCTGCAGTGTTTGAAATGGTATCCTGCCTTTCAATAATGTCTAACTTTGGATCGACATTTCTTCCTCTTCCTACAAGGGATGTTTTATATATCCTAAAATTGAAAGAAGAGTTAGCATTTTGATCATACAATAGAGAGGAGAAGTCGTCACGTCACGTTGCCATTGTAGCAAAATTTCTGGATGACAACAAACCGAAAACGTCACTTAAAAAGTGAATTCGCACTGTTTCCAACCGCATCGATCTTATTCCGTTTCACTTTATTTGTCAAAAGTTGGCGAAATTTTCTGGGATTTGAATCCCAAAGGACCGTATCTAATTTTAGAAAAAGAAAGTTTTTGTGCTGCTTTCACCTACTCCATAAAGCGGGCGCGTGAAATTAGGAAGTTTCATGTCGCAGTCTTGCAAAGACGGCTAAGAAGTGTACAAAAAAGGCGTGCTGCACGTACAAGGTTGTTGTTTTGCTTATCTAAACCTCTTGCTTTTTTGCTGTTCTTGTTGCTGTCACCCTCGTCGTTGCTTGAGTTCCTTATTGTTGTGATCCAGAAAGTTTGCTACCAAGGTAACGTGATGTCACCCTTCTCCCTATTGCTGCTCATTTTAGGCCTGGACGAGAGGAGAAAATTGGAAGTGCAACCTCGCTAAGAACTGTCATCAAAGCAACTTGATCGTCAAACCCGAAAAAGGAAAAGCCATCATGTGGTATAATCATCTTCTCGACGAAAAAACGGGTAAATATGGGTCACCTTGTGCAGCATAACGAACAATACCACAGGATAAAAAAAAACAATCAGTTATACTATTTAAGTATTCTACAACCGGAATGTTTTTCGTCGCTTTTCTTTCTTTCCCCACATTTAGGGGATTCCGATACCCGGGAAATTTTTGCTTGTGGAATTCTGAATCCTGGAAATTATTGTTTGTGGAATCCTGAATCTGCCTGGAAAATTTTACTTGCGCAATCCAGAATCCTTGGCTTTGGAATCCATGATACAGCTCAAGGAACCGAATACCCATTAACAATTGGAATCCAGAATCCAGAAATCGACATTTTTGAATACAGAATCCAAGACTGTCTTGGATTCCCTCACACATGGGGCGATTTTTTCCTAGTATTTAAAGTCAGTAATCTCACTTACGGTTCAATTACAAAAGTCGTAATTTGAGCAAAAAATCAAAGCAAAAGCTTGATTCTAGTAGCTGAAGTGACTATTTGTCATTACCGGCTATGTTCAGCTTTAATTTTTGCTGAAAGAGAATACCGTTTACTGCCGCTTGAAATTAAAGCCCTTGGATTACACAGAGGTTTTAGGAGGGCGTATACACGATGGGGCTTATATTCAAGAGGACTTATAACCGTAAAGGGAAAAAGTGCTTCTGTATAGGTATGGCAGTGCTCATCAAACTACGTTTTTGACTCACTGCTTTAATTTTCAACTCAGCTTCAAAACGGCAAATTCAATGGAATTCACATCAATACATTTGGAGAGGGGTTTATATTCGGGAGGCTTACAACCGGATGTCTATTTTTGTTCACAGGAAGATGGGCTATCACTGGGGGGGGGGGGGGGTTTAAAAAGGGGGGGGCTATAAGGGGGGGGGGGGTTTGAGGGGGGGGGGTTTTAATTGGGGGGCTATACGGGGGGGGGGGGTGTGTGGGGGGGGGTGTGAGGGGGGGGGGGGGGGAGGGGGGGG